ATATATATATATATATATATATATATATATATATATATATATATATATATATATATATATATATATATATATATATATATATATGTTATATACATTGCGTTGATGGTGGTCGTCGACGCTGACTACAACGGCAAAATCCAGCCGAGAGTGTCCATATAATTGCTATCACAATAAAAAACTGCGTAGCTTGCATTAGTGGAGCAAGACTAGAACCAACAGGGGACCTCGTGCGCAACCCCTCCTCGAAGTATTTTGACAGTAATGCCAAGCTTTTGCTAGATGATGGCGAACAAAATTTATATAATTAGTAGAAAGATCTTCCCTCCACTTTCAGAGGTGGAGAGGGACACAACCTAGAGCAGAGTTATAATCATTTTGCGTTCCCATACCCGGCCACGCATTGGCCCAATTTTTCTGGTGTTAGCCGACCATTGCGCCATCTAGGAGGGACAACACAAAACACAAATGTTGTGTTTAATAGTTGGTGTCTGCATCAAAAAGTGGCGTGACAATCTGCTCACCCCCGACGTCTGGGCCAATGACGCGTCTGGATTTTGATACATGGAGTCTATGGGGAGTTTTGCAACACGAATGATTGGATAAGTCTTAACCAAAATGACAGCCATGATCCCGCGAATAAAAGATTTTGCGAGTAGTACTAAATATGCCTAGGCTTGGCTTTTCTTTTCTGGTTTTGATGGGCTTCCCAGAATACGCACGTTTTACGTGGTTTTTGTGAGAACATGTCGTGCGACATGCTGTTACGGGGTTTTAGCAGCAGTTTTATCGTGCAAACGTAAATACACATCATAAAGAAAGGGTCGACACACACAAGCGCTTTTTGTATCGTCTCTTTGTGGTGTGTCTTTACGTTTACGATGTAAAAGTATTTCTGATGATGATGTGTGGCGCTTTATGGCGCAAGGGCTAATTGATGGCCAAAGAGTGCCATTTCAATGACTAGAGATGTGGACAATGATATGTTGCGTGGCTGTATAGGGGCCTTAAAATTCCTCGCTATAATGCGGGTAAAAACATAAGTATTTAAATTTTAACAGTGCCGTTATATGTATAGTAAAAATTGGTGACAAAATGTTGAGATAATAAAAACATGTGTAAACATATTTGGCACTAGCACAAGTGCCTCATCAGCGCCCTTGTGTGCAAGGGCCGCGAGGCAAGTGCTTTTCAATGTAGTCACTAAAGCAGCAACCTCTCTTGAGAGGTCGCGCTACGCAATGCCTCGGTATATGACATGGTAAAAGCGAACATCTCTGAAAAAAAGCTAGAACCAATTTATGAGTAAACAGTGGTTTCATACTGACGTACATTGCAGGTTGTAAAGGTATTTGTTGTCGGTAGGGTAATGGAAAGTGTTGTTTTCTTAGAGTGTCTAATTGTCTCCACTGAATTAAAATGTGAAGAACAGTTAGTGCTTCACCACATCTGTCACACAATGGTGGATCGCCACCGGACAAAAGATATGAGTGTGTCGTGTATGTGTGTCCTATCCTGAGCCTCGTTAGTGTTACCTCTGTACGACGTGATTTTGATACTGGCGGCCAAAGGCCAATGTGTGGCTTAATAATGTGTAGTTTGTTCTGTGTGTGTCTATCCCACTTTCTCTGCCAGTAGTCCCTGAGCTTTCGTTTAGAGACGGCTTAAGATCAAGGGCCGGGATTGATATGGGTGTAGTGGCAGTGCTTTTGTGGATGGATGCAGCAAGCTGATCCGCCATCACGTTGCCTTGAATTTCACGGTGCCCTGGCACCCAGCACACTACAACATGTTGTTTGAGTGTGTAGAGTGTGCATAAGATGGAGTAAAGTGAGACGAGGACAGTGTTTTTTTGTTTTTTAAGAGTGTGCAGAGCCGTTACCACATTGAGAGAGTCGGTATAAATTACTGCTTTCTGTAGTTGTAGTTGTTAGATGTGTTTAGCGGCCACAAGTATTACATAAGCTTCCGCTGTGAAGGTACTTGTCTCTGGATGTAGAGGGCCAGCATCCGAAAAGGATGGGCCAACAGCAACGTCGGACACAGAGAAGTTCTACTTAGATGCATCTGTAAAGAACTCAGGACGTGTGTATTTGTTTTGAAGTTCCAGGAAGTATGTTCAGATATGGGCAATGGTCGCGTGTTTTGTAACTTCTAGGAAAGACACATCGCAATCTATAGTCTGCCACTGCCACGGTGGCGGGTATGCTACAAGAGCCATTAAACTGTGTTCAAGTGACACTCCAGTGTCCTCAGCTAGACCCTTCAGGCGAACTGAGTAGGGTGGCCTCATCGAAGGCCTGTTTTGAAACAGAATGGAGCTCGACAAATCATTAATAGTGGAGTATGAGTGGTGCTTCTTCCCTGCTTTCATCTTAAGGAAATATACAAAGGCCATGTACATTCTCTGCAGATGAAGCGACCACTCATTTGACTCAACGTAAAGGCTTTCTACGGGGCTGGTGCAAAAAGCACCCGTAGAAAGGCGGATGCCCAAATGGTGCACGGGGTCCAGCATCTTCAAGGCACATTGAGTCGCAGACTGATAAACAACGGCCCGATAATCTAAGCGGGTGCGAATGAGGCTTCTATACAGGTTCATGAGGCATTGCTTGTCACTATCCCACGTAGTACGTGACAACACTTTTGGAACATTCTTGGCTTTTAAACATTTTGTTTTTAAATGCTTGATGTGCGGTACGAAGGTCAACTTGTTGTCCAAGATTAAGCCTAAGAATTTATGCTCTGCATCAACAGACAGACGTTGACCGTTCAGTTCGATGTCGGGTTCTGAGTGGATGCCTCACTTTCGGGAGGATAAGACACACGTGCTTTTTTGTGGGTTCAGTAGGAATCTGTTTTCTGTTACCCATTTGGAAACATTGTTTAAACCTAACTGAACCTGCCGCTCACACATTGCCAGGTTGCATGACTTAAAGCCAAGCTGGACATTATCGACATATGCGCAGTAGAACATGTTGCGTGGGATGGACAGGTGCAAGGAATTTATTTTGATAATAAAAAGTGTACGACTAAGTACACCACCTTGCGGTACTCCCGTTTCTTGGACAAATGTTTGGGAGAGAATACTGCCCACACGGACACGGAATGTCCGATTGGACAAGTAACTCTCGATTATGGAAAACATTCTACCACAGACAGCCAGGTGAGACAGGTCTCTTAATATGCCAAGACGCCATGTTGTGTCGTTCGCCTTCTCGATATCGAAAAACACAGAGAGGAAGTATTGTTTGTGGACGAAAGCGTCTTGGATCTCTGCCTCAATGCGCACCAGATGGTCGGTGGTGGATCTACCCTCTCAAAACCCACACTGAAATCGGTCGAGCAGATTGTGTGTTTCGAGAAAATGTTAAAGTCGGCGGTTTGTCATCTTTTCAAGAAGTTTACAAAGGCAGCTTGTAAGTGCAAGGGGCCTATAACTCGCAACTGAGGAAGGGTCCTTGCCCTGTTTCAAAATAGGGATGACAATAGCCTCTTTCGAGGAAGAAGGGATGGTGCCGGAAATCCAGATAGCATTGTATAGGGACAGTAAAGTTATTCGCGTTTTGAGCGGCAGGTTTTTCAAGATTTCATACGTGACACGGTCGTAGCCTGGGGCAGAATTACTGTAGGAGTTTAGTGATGTTTGTAGCTCAGCTAAGTTGAAAGGTTGGTTGTATGCCTCGTAATTTTTGCACTTGTATTCTAGTTTCTACTTTTCTATCCTTGCTTTGTATCTTTGGAAAGCTTCAGTATAGTGTGACGAGCTAGACAACTGCTCGTAGTATGCACCGAGGAAATTTGCCTGATCTTCCTGGCTGTCACCCTGTGTGTTTACGAGTGGGAGTGAGTGTACTTGTCTTCCTGCTACCCTACCAACCATGTTCCAGACTTCAGCCTATTGTGTATATGAATTTATCCCTGATAAAAACTTGTGCCACTAGAACCCAATAATATGTGACCAAGAGAGGGCACATACACAAGGTTAACCCTTGCCGCCTGGAAGATGGAAGTAAACAGAAGTGAGGAGATGACAGAATAGATTGGAAGAAAGAAAAGACGAAGATGTGAGGGAAAGAGAGACAGGAAAAGGCGACTGCTGATTTCCCCTGGGTGGGTCAGCCCAGGGGTGCCGTCTACGTGTAAAAGTATTTCTAGCATTGCGAACCAACTAGGCCCAAAAGAAGCTTTACTGATATTACGGGTTTTTGGTGGGGGCATTTCACGTGAAAAGTTGGTACGTGAGATTACGCAATTTTTACTCACGTGGCTAGTATTATGTGATACGTGGTTTCAGTCACTACATATGTTATGCAATTGTAGTCACTTGACATGAGATTTTGGTGGGAACATGGTAAGTGTGCTGCGTGTCTTTAGTGACGTGGCAATATAGTTGTTACGTGGTTTATGGCGGGAAAGTATCAGGTGACTAGGTGATACGTAATGTTAGGTGATTTTATTGACTTGACCAGTTACGTGGTGTTCCATGATTTTAGTCACGAGCCTTTATAATTACGTGATGTCACGTCACTGTGCTTGAAGTTACAGAGTTTTAGTCAAAGGACTGATTGCGTGATTACGGGGTTTTTGATCATGTGACTACTTGTTACATGATGTTATGTGATCTTTAGTCACGCGACTAGTTGTTACGTGATTATAGTCCCGTGACTATAAGTCAAGAGATTTCATGTGATTTTAGTTTTTTGACTAGTCGTTGATGTTACATTATTTTTATTCACGCAACGGAAGACTTGCCCATCATAGTTTTTGCGTTCCACGCTGAACAAATCAGCGCACGTGTTGCGGGAGTAAAGCGGAAGGTAAAAGGGACGATCCGAGAGTGTACTGCTCGGGATGATGATGATTTCTGCTTGCCCCACCCGACACAACAAAAATCTGAAATGGTTCCATTGTTAGAAGCAATTTATTGGCCATGCCTGCGGTAAAATTACACGATAGCAAAGAGGCTAAGTGTGCCTGTGACATGCGCTTACTTGTTTCAGGGTCCAACGGGGCCACCTGGTGAGAAAGGGGAGCGTGGAGAACAAGGTGACGTGGTGAGTAATTAATTACAAGATGAGTAAAAATTTCACGTTCACGCTATAGCAGCCTGCTTGTCGCTTATCATCAGAGGTAACTCATGACGTAATACCACGCCTTCGCTGGCCATTTTGTGATGCATAACCTTTTAGAAATAGAGCCATATGCGTTTCTTACCGACAATTTCGTGCACTACAGAAAGTACAAATCGATAAACAAGTATGAACCTCTCACCTAGCGTGAGTTATTTCTCACATGAGATGTAGCATGCATGGGGAACTAAAGGTTTCCAAAGACTGGAGGAAAAAGGAAGTGCATTTTGAGAAACAAACAGGTTTTGCACGTGTCGCTTGTGCACGCATTTTGTCTTGAACGCACAGCTTATATTAAGGAGTGCAGCGGTAGGATAAGTAAAAAAATGCCATTGGATTCATTTTAAATGGTGTCACCAGACAGCTTATACGATGACTCAGCAGTTCAGCATGAACAACACATGTGAAATCATTTTTTCAAGTTTCTTCTTAAACAATTTGAGAACTATCGTGGGCAGGAAGGTGTTGTTCCTTTATTTGAGATATAACTGAATGTTTTAACTGAAAATGAAAGTATATCGATATGCACTGCCGTCCGCATAAGTATTATCTGACCTCTGGCCTCGGCGTCCCTAAGTGAACCACAACTAAGATTGCAATCGTAACGTTACAAAGTTGGTACAATGTAGTGTAAATTTTTTGTGCTTTATTTTATTTAAAAAGCCTATTAGGCACGGTAATATGTGGTGTAAAGTACACATGCTCTTTTAGTTCACGTATGAACTATAACAATAAAGTTTGCCACATGTTCCAGTGTATACGTTTGTGTATTACATGAAACCCCGGCCAAATATCTACGAGAAAGTGAAAGCATGCGGAACCTCACCGTTTGAGCTTAGTGGTAATTTATCCACTTGTTTAGAATCATACATCGGCTAGCTGAAACGTTTCGACGAAGTATTTGCCGCATACTTAGTGTAACCGATCGCAGGGACCGAGAGGAATGCGGGGCCAACAAGGAACATCTGGAAAGCCGGGAAGACGGGTAAGCTCTGTCACTGGGATGCCATACCTTCTAGTTTCTGGTGTGACCCTTATGTCATGTTTATTTAAGCGGCAGTGTGAGAAAGGTGTGACAAGAACAGATAGACGTAATGCCACACAAACAGCGCACAGGTTGTTCAAATAATCACTATGTAGGAACAGTGCACGGGATTATACCAGAAGGTAATGTTGGCTTATAACAATAGTGTGGACTCGTGCTTTCTTCTTCTGCATATATAAATGCGCAGAGAATCTGTAAAATAATAAAGAGAAGCTTACTCAAACCAGCCAATAGTCAACATAGCAATTGTTTCTTGATTTGTGAGCATCGATTTCTCTGCAGGGACGGAGTGGCAAGGACGGCGAACGCGGAAAGCCAGGGCCTCCGGGTCCAAAGGTCAGTGCCCAAAAGAAGCATTCACTTCAGCTTCTTGCTAATGCACCAGTTACGGAACGTAATATTTTTACTGAGATCTGTTTCAGTGAATTGGACTGGAATAATAAATGTAATTCGAAATTGAAGCGTAAAAATATTGCGCAGCTTGTGTGAAGAGCGAAAACTTACCTGTGAGCAGAAGAAAACCATCAAAATATATACGTAGCTGTAACCATCATGTCATAGTAAGCAGATGCAACAGCCTGTTTTATAGTAATGAACTGCAATTGGACACACACTCTCTTTCTTTCTTTCTTTCGTGGCGCAGGGCAATGTAGGCCTTCCGGGTGTTCCAGGTCTGCCGGGAGAGAAAGGTGAAAGGGTCAGCATTGCATCAAATCTTTCTATTGAAATGTTTTGCATTGTTAATACGCCTTAAAATGACGAGTGATACTGTTACCGACATAATTCCGCCCACGTTGCCAACTTTTCAGGGTTTCATAGGTGCGCCCGGTGACCAGGGCCTGGTAGGACACGAAGGGCCTCCGGTGCGTATTTCTGAATTTATCGCGCAATGTTATGTGAAAGCAAAATGGTCGATTGAAGCAGCTCATTTACACACCGCCTGCATCCGAGAAATGAAGGGAGACCGTGTAACAACGTTGCACCCATTACCTATTTTTATTCGTGAAAAGAAAAGTCAGTATTACGAAGCGCTTCATATGCTAAAACCGTTTTCTAAACAGGCAGTACCTTATTACAAAAACCACTTTAGCCAACCTGATTGCTAGACATTGTTACGAAGGAAGAGATTTGTGAATGGTGGTCAAATCATTTTAATGCTGCATTTTCATTAGAAAAACATGGTGGAATTAGTACAAATGTTAAGAATTTTAATCACTGCTGAAGGTGATCGAACGCGGAGCATGTCGTTCTACCGATGTTTCCATTGTTATCAGGATTTAGCAGCCCCGAAAAACAGTCAGGACAACTGATAAGAGTGTTAAATTATATGTATAGCCTTTAGGTAACTGTGATCACATAGGCCCTCAAAACAGGATTTTGCACGAGGCTCTTTACGTACGGCATAATGATCCTTTAATATAATATGTGGATTCTGCATTTACAACACCTGACGTTATTAGGTGTTTTTCCTCTCTAACCACGAGTAACAATATAAACTTCCCGAGCTAACCAGGAGGGCATAAAAAGGATTGATTGATGTGTGGGGTTTAGCGTCCCAAAACCACCACAGGATTATGAGAGACGCCGTAGTGACACTTCTGGTGTCACTACGGCGTCAATAGGTGGTTCACCAGAAGTGACACTTCTGGTGAACCACCTATTGTGCTGCACCCCATTTCTGTTACTGCGCTTGTTGTATTTTTAGAAGCATGTTAACTGTTTGAAAGGGTAAACAGTGTGAAACAACAGCAATTTTTTCTTTTATTTTTGAATGTGAAACACAGGGTGACGATGGCGCTACAGGGCTTCCCGGACTTCCTGGAGAGATGGTAATTTTTTTTCTGAAACGTATGCGCTAAATCTCAGCAATTCACGACCAGTGCTTCACAGAGGTTATTTTGTCCACAACGTGGCTGCAAAGCAGCCATTACAGCTATGGGAAAATATTTCCGCACACGTATATTCAGCAGCACATATACACACGTTTGCAAGCTTAACCCAAATTCTCCGCAGCATCCCATTTGACTCATGCCTTCCGCCAAACGCTGGGCACTGTTTCCTAGATTATTCCTTGATATGCTTGGATAGTATGTCGGCATGCACGGGTACATCCCGGCAACAAAACCCGAATCTGCACAGAGCTGACGTCAATCAAACCGTTTCAAGACACGTAGAGCAGCTTTCGAGTTAAACTGGCTGACATATGTGCACAAAGCAGATGATTACAAGTGCAATTGTTGCCAAATGAAACATAGTAAACAATGACTGCATATTTATGAGTAGCGAGTCATCATAATAAATGTTTGCATTCACAAGATATGTGGCAGCAGTCCCTGAGGACGTTGCATTTCTTCTCCGTAGTGGCAGGTACTTGTTCAAATCTTGTTTTCAAAGTGTGACTATTGAAAAACATTGAACGATGTGTTATAAACGTAACCTTAACGCTCTCTCTTATCCTTTTCTTTTTGCTGCACTACAGATGCAAGCATGTTTACATTAAGTGCATGAATTTATCTTCTACCTGAGTGGACTGTCGTAATATACGATAAGGTCGGACTTGTAGTTATTGCAACACGTTTGTAAGTGATACTGCTACGTTGAGACTGTGTCACTGCGCATCACTGCAATCGTACTTTTGTTTTTTGGTACATATTTTTCTATTGTATTTCTGAAACTTCACGCGCTCATAATTGATTCCTGACATCGTGAAATGCAGGGTCCACGAGGATTCCCTGGGCCGCGCGGATTCGTTGGACTCCCAGGACCACCTGTGATTACTGACACACAATTGTTCTTCTCTCAGTGACATCGGTCGACGACGTAAAATGTGGAACCTGACAGTTGTATTTGTTATGTTGCAGGGGATACCGGGAGCAGAAGGGCCTGTGGGACCAAAGGGTAACACGGTATGTTCATTGACATATTTTAGATTCGGCTTATATTTTAACTTTCTTCCATGAAGACTTCGCGTGAAGGAATGAGAAAAAAGTTGCTTTATGTAGTAAAATGCGCGATGAAATCGGCATGATTTAATTAAAAGCTTCAATGTGTTCTAAGAATGGAAAGTGTCATGAGAATTGAATTCGAGCAAGGCAACTATGAAATAGCAGAGATCTCACTTATCAAGAGAATAGGGTGAGCGTATGTCAGAAAGAAAACAAAAACAAATCGATAGACGGGTCACCAAGCCCTCCTGGAACCTACAAAGCCGTTTGTCGTTATGTTATCAAATGCGCCAAAGACAGGCAGATCCCAATCAATTGTTGGATTTCCACGAAGAGTAATGTTGGAATGGAAAGCGAAGTTAAGCTTAAGCTGTCAATTTTCACGCCCGAAGAACACATACCTAAAAAATATTGCGTTAGCCGCACAATGGGAGCAATAGGTTATCAAGATGAACAAGCCCTGCTTTTACTGGAAGGCTACTTTTTGACACAGAACAAGCTGAAGGGGAGTTTAGAAAAGGTAATATATGAACAGCACAATAAATCACCGGTCTTAAGCAATCGTAAGAAAGCGACTTTGAAATTTAGTATAGCCACAGAAAATAAACGGAGTAGCGGGATATGTAGTCTTCCTCACCAGAAAACAGGTGAGATAAGGGCTTGAAGTGGCGAAAGAATACTCTAACAGGGCATGTCGCTGGAGCCAAGGTTCTGATCAAGCGGACCTGTTTTCGTCAAGACATCAGCTGCACTGAGATAGAAAAGTTGCTGTTTTACATTGCCGCCCTGACGACGACAAGGCCTTTGAGAAATGCTCGGCTCCAACGACATTCCCCGCTCAACGATTTCTCATTACTTGAAGCAGTCAAAAGGTTATTTGACAAGTGACTGAAGACGTGCCTTTGATTTTGGCGTACAGATTTGTGTCATCATTCGCTAAAATGTTTCAGCAGCTATTTCGCTACTATAGTTCTATCACGCCAGCAGTGTTCAAAAAGAGAAATAAAAAAGAAAGACACTTGAGCTGGAATTAAAAAAGAAGTTGAAAGAGCGAATAAGTTTTAATGCCCGCATGTTCAATGCCTTATGTGTTTTCTGCACTAATACTTTATTGTAATATTGAGTTTGAATGACTGTCAGCAATACGTTCGCATATGGCACGCGTGTTGCGTAAGTACCTTCAGTGCACTTGAAAGTTATTACACTTCCTGTTCACTCACGACCATTGTAAAGGCCTTAGCTTGGCTTCAGCATTCTTTACGAATGTTTAGTGACTTCTGCATAAGTTGACAGCACGTAATATATAAGAAAGTGTTATTTCCGATCGTAATGCTTGTTCGCGCGCCCCAGCGCGAAGAAATAGTGGCTGACAAATTATACGCTGTTTGCAGGGTCCTCCAGGTGGACCTGGGCAGCCAGGGCAGCAAGGGATGCAGGGCCCGGTGGTAAGCGACCTGTTCTTCACATCATCAATGGTCTTGCCTGATCGTTAGGCCACAGCTTTCGCGTATTCCCGAATGTTACAGGTGTGTGATACCACGTGATTTTTAAAGTTATATTGCAAAGGTGACCTAGGTGCGGCTATTGTGAGGTTTATAGTTGCTCGTTTCTGGCCAAACTTTCATAAAAGTGCGTATTACAAAGTTCTATGCCTCGTTAACAGAAACTACACAGAGTTTACGAAAATTCTGGTGCTTAAAAGACGTATTTTTTTATACCAGCGTAGAAACATCTGCACATAGAACATTCCCCGCTTAATGTTCCCAGCACTTTTATTTAATTGCTGCCTGTTCCATGGGCATCGCGAACTTGCTAAACAATATTGTTTTTTTTGTATAAGTTAACAATACATTGTCCTTATAACACAGAAGACATTGACATAATTTTCCGAATTCAGCATATATCTCAAAGAAATATAAAATTACAGACATCCGCCTTAGACCTCCTAGACATAATTGAATACTTATTTCAAGGTGAATTACTGGGATCATGAGGGGGGAGGGCATTCAGTTATAAGGGGGGCAATACACAAGATATACGCACGTACACATGTGAAACTGGAAAATATACAAAAGATACACGCAAACCAACAAGCGAAACGGTACGTTTCTTGCATGCAAGAAGCAATGCGGCAACAAAACAAAATCTTCAACTACATAGCTACGACAATCTTAAAAACGAATTCTTATGAAAATGTTTGCAACGCAGTTGAACAAAAATACTAGCGATGAAAAACGATTACCAGATGAGATAAAAAAAGATTCATTTTATAGTAGCAATACAGCACGGTGCATTCCCTGTGCAAAGAAAGAAAAAGGTGACTACAAGCAGTATAACTGCCGTACAGAATAAGCTGTAAAAGAAAGCATAAGTGCACTACGCATAAATCATCTTATCTGACGTCCTGTATGACGCAACATATTAGCAAATGCAGATATTTACTATGATAAGTGTAGGTTCAAAAGTAGTCAAAATATATTATCGTTATAGGCAGTATAGCTTTGTAAAATATAATAGAGACCTGCAGTAAAGCCTAATAATACATAATGTTATTTGGGGTTGAACATCACAGAATCACGACATGACTATCAGAGACGCCATAGCGGAGGCCTCCAAAAATTTTGACCACCAGGGGTTCTTCAATGTGAACCTAAATCTAAGTACCAGGGCCTCGAGCATTTTGGCCTCCATGGAAAATGCAACCGCCACAGCCGGGATTCGAACGCGAGACCTTCAGATTAGCAGTCGATTGCCTTAACTACTAAACCATCGTGGCGGGCCTGCCATGAAGTTTAATGTGCGCTCATGATAAAACTCAACACAACTGAAAGTTCAGCACGTGCAATAAGTTTATCTATTTATGTTGATTGGTCAAGTCACTGTAGCCATGTTTTAAAACAAGATAATTCTGAAAATGAAATTACAGTTGTACGTGATTTCGGCTCACTGGGACATGTCTCAATAGGATATGAACATAAACTACGCTTACGGACTGCGTCCGCCGTGGTGTAGTAGTGGTAACGATGTGCGGCTGCTGGCTGGAAGGTCGCGGGTTCGATCCCAACCGTAGTGGTTGCATTTTGCTGGCGGCGAAATGGTGCAGGCCCGTGCACTGTGCGACGTCTGTGTAGGTCAAAGAACACAAGATAGTTCAAATTTCCGAAGCCCACCATTAATCCCGCTTCCTTCATAATTATATCGTGCCTTTGGGACGTAAAACCCCAGATAATAAGCTTTAGGACTTCGTGAAAGATGTACTTCACAGTAAAGAAAAATATTGAAGTCGAAATTCTTGCAATATAACTTCGTCCCTTATGTGCATCGATGAACAGAAAGTTTTTATTTTAGTGTGAGTCTTTGTTTTGTTTCATCTATGCGCTCCAAGGTCTACTTCTTTTCACATGGGCGTACAAGTTCTCAATTCATGCCATATGTTATTTATCTTTTATTGAAGCATGCTCTGACATCGCCCATTTGTGCTACCTTCCTTTTGAATATTTCCCAGTTTGGACATGTTCTGCACCCACATATTATTTCACTGTACAGACGTGTGCTCTTCACGAAGGCAAATGCCTGTTTTGGAACTATATGTTGAATGGCAAAACTTTTCCTATGCCTCACTTCAGGGGTCACCAGGCCCTCAGGGCCTCCTAGGACCATTGGGACCACAGGTATGTAAAAAGTTTCCAAATAACACAAGCAATAAAGCATGCAAAACTTTACATTTGTTCAATAGCTGAACCCGGAGAAGACCATTCTTCAAGTTCCACCTAAAAACTGAAAGGGCCCCAATTATATCGGCTCATGTGCGCAAAAGACCAATAGATCTGTACGTATGCAGTGGGTAAATACTATGAATATGACCTGTCCTGTAATTTACCTGTAAGGAAGGAGCTTATCAAAGTCTTTATCTCGTGCTGCACTTATGGCAGCTTATAAAGACTACAGAAATGAGGCCAATGCATATGTAGACTGAACAAAAGTTACAAAGGTATTGCGACATCTCCACAAATGTTGAAGTTTGGGTGAGTTGGTTCATCGTGCCAGCGCCTCCTTTATTTATATCAAGGCCAGTGCAAACGCGCGCTTCGCAATGGGAGCCATTGGTCCGCCTTAGTTCTCGGAGTGGTCGTGAAGCGACGCTACATGATGGGTAGCGCTGCTTGCGTCACACGTGCGTCCGATCCCTTTCCTCGGGAGTTGCGATAGGCGTATTCACCGCTCTAATATCATACATATGTTCGATTTTTTCCTTCGTGATCAGTCTTAGTGGCTCGAAGCAATGCGGCCCCGCATCACAGCGCAGGGAATGCAATAGCCTTGCTGTGACGCTTCCCCATTATTTGCCCCACATGAAGCCACGGACGGCGACACGCTTTCTCAAAACACCATATCTTCTACGTAGCTAGCGTCACAACCAGTATTGTGAACACGAGGGATGCAAGATGCCGCCACACGGATCTGTGCGCCACTAAAGAAATAAGTATTTCATATGATTTTCATCGTGAGGCACTGCACGAGGAGTTTTCTACCCCATGACCACAAAGCACACGCGAAGGCTAGGCGATGGGTGAGAGCAGAAAGTGGCTAGAGGAGAGAGTGGCGAACGGCTGGATCAGGCGCATCTGGCTGGCATTGATAAAAATAGAGGAGGCGTAGGTCGTAATGAACTGGTACAGCATCTTCAGGGAAAGAAAAAAAAAATGACCGAACTGATGGACAGAACGGACAGAGTGCCAACTTTCAACTTGGGAGCTCTATTGGCAAAATGCCTCAAATATTTAGACTTGTGCAAGCATACCAAAACACTTGAACATAATTCCAAGAATAGACGAAACCGCCGCAACGTCACAGACAAAGGTTTCGTACACGTTTTACTTCATTATAAGGAATTGCGCCAGGTCCCGCTGAAGGAAACCATGTGTAGATGCGAAGCAGCGGGCATTAACATTTACACTAGCGCCGACGTTAACGCTGCAATCAACGTGGCGTTGCGCAGGAGAAAAACCTAGGCAGGCGCAAGGCACGCCGTGAAGAACCGGTGTTTCCTACTGGAACAAAACAATTGCTGTTAATGTGCAGTGAGAGACAAAAGACACCGAGTGGACACAGAGACCCGCAGACCACTTTTAGTTAACCCGCTGCTGCGAATTTTTATTTTTCAACCACTCACAGGAGAAATCTCCCACCAGCACGATCCAGTGCCGATATATACGAGAGGGGAGGAGGGGGGCAGTGAACGCTTATGTAGCGCGAGCAGTCGGTTTTTTCAACCAAGAAACTCGCTAGCAGACACTGTCTGCCTCGGCGTTGCGAGGCGAGAGAGGGGGAGAATAGAAGAGGAAAGAGGGGGAGTGTACGTGCATGCGAAATAGTGGTGTAAATCGCGTGGAGAGGAATCCATAGAGGAGAGAGTATGGCGAGCGTAGGTTAGCAGATGCTCCCTGCGTCGGCGTTGCGAGGCTAGAGAGGGAAGAGTGCTGGAGAGGAGAGAAAGGGGAGGGAACGCGCACGTGCAATAGGTGTGTTAGCGCTGCTGGAAGGGATGATTAGAGGAGAAAGAAATTGGAGAGTGAGCGCAAGCAGGTGGTAGGAGTGAAGTGTAACGCATAGAGTAACGCGTAGCTGTTGGAGAGAGGGAAGGAAGAGTTGCGCATGAATGTCGACGCTGACGCCGTGGAACATAACTTCGAGCAAGAGATGCTTCGCATCTAAAAAGAGACTTCGTGCTCCGATAACGCCAACGAAGGGACACTGATACATGTGATTCCAACTCGTGCTGTACAATGTGCTTCTGTTATTTCCCGGGTAATTTGTGACGAGTGCTTTTTACCACTTCACAATCATCAAACAAAGGTGAACATCTACAATCGCAGTGGTAAATTCCATTGTGTCCCTAAATTCCTTTGTGGATATTGTAATGTCGCCATTTTGGCGTTTCATTAAAGGGGCACTGACACAAAATTTCGCGGCCGAGATAGCCTGTGGGGTCTATTCCCAAGAACATTCGTATATCATCTGCAAAGTATCAACAGCAAATATCGCTGGGAAATTATTTTAAAATAATTTGGAAGCTTGCGTGAGCCCTCGAATCCATTGCGCCAATGACACCATCGAAGGAGACCCTGAGGTGACCCCCTACTTCCCTTACGTCACCGCGCTGCAGTCAACAAATTAAGTTATGTTGACGCCACAGCCGCCATTTTTTTTGCCGCGTTTGTTTCCGCAGTCTATATTTTTTGGCGGCTGGTTGCGAGTGCGTGGCTGTGGCGCACGATAAGAAAGATCTGTATTTGGCGACACTGCAGTAGCATTTCCTATTTGTAAGTAATTCATGATGCGTACCGTGCGGAAGTGTGTCATAGTTCTGTGTGGTGACGTGGCCAAGATCTGCACACGCTAGGTGGCGACAGCTGCACCCAGCTTTTGGAGCTCTCTCGAGCCGAAACTGAAACTGATCCACAATAAGGGGCCTGTAAGTAATTATCTGTCGCGTGCTGCAGCAAACGATCTGTCGAGTCATGACTAACAGGCCCCCCCCCGCAACACATTGCAGCAGAAAAACGCGAGGCCAAAGTTTTTTGTGTCAGTACCCCTTTAGGGCAGTGCCCCAATTGGCCAATGTACTATTGCCACATGAAAGTGGTATTCAGTAAACAACCCCTGCTTCATTTGGTATGGCGTTTTTCGCTTAGTTGAGCAAATAGTGGTGTGTGATATGTAGTGATTGACTGCTTTGCAAAGCCGCTGTATTTCATCTTGCACCCAAAACATGACTTTATCACTGAATTTACCGGAACACGAAGTGTATTTATTTAATTAGGCGAACCGGCTATGAAACATTGGTCTGTGACGTTGCAAAGATGTTGTCTAAATCTTGGCGTCATATTCGGGTGTTTTTGAACGCTTGTGCAAGTCAACATATTTGATGCATTTAGCCAATAACTCAGTCGGTCGTTAGCGCTCTCTCCTATTGTGTTGTTCTGCTAGGCTTTTTTTTTTTCTTCCCCGTATGCGCTAGACCAGTTAAAATGCGACATCTCGCACAGCCTTTGCCCAACGTCTTACCTTTAGGCGGCTTTGTTCGTTTACGTAAAAAAAAAACACTCTTTTTTTTTCAAGCAAGAAGGTCCCCAGATGGGCACATTTCATGTCCATTTCAGAGCAGTCACTGTTCACTTCGATAATATTTGGAATAAATGTTTAGCTACACCTTCAGCGAATGCATGCGAGGTGACTTGGAAACCTAAATGTAAACTTACAGCAGTGCCTACTACAAAACAGCATATAAAAGAAAATTAAATTTTCATTTACACTGTGAAGTCTACACTGAAAAATAAGGGCCAAGGCCACCATGAAAGCATGTCTACAAGATTCTCATTGACATACATTTCAATCGCGTTATAATTTTAGTGATATAAATGTGATAGTAACGCAGCCAGTGCCCAATCAGAGTGATGATGCTATACTTATTGTAAGTATTGGCATTACAATCGCGACGTTTGAATTTTTGATTTTTTATCCCACTATGTGAAAACTTTGTTGATACGGACAACGTTCACTGAGTTTAATTGTAATAATTCATCGTGCGAGTAAAAAAAAACCAAATGAGTAGTACTTTGTTTCAGTTAGAATTTTAACGTATAGCTGCTTTTCAGGGGCCTAGAGGAAAACCAGGGCTTCCAGGTCTCCCAGGAGCGGATGGAATGCCAGTGAGTTTGAATCGAAGTATATAATATGCAACTTTGCTTGTGGCAGAAGCAATAAATTTGTTGCAATTTTTGTAAACAAAAAAGAAAAAACTCTCGTTTTATGTTCATATTAGCATAAATTCTTTCCATTAGCAGTGTTTACAGTAATATAACAATATATTGGGTTAATAGACTGATTTATAGAATGACATAGAATATAATGACGGCTTTTTGCCATCATCTCGTCACCTTAATCTCTTTGGCTTCTCTTCAGGGTACCTGAGTTGCATAAAAATTAAGATTAGAAACAACAAAACGACGGATAGAAAAGTAGCCCCAAAGTACCTAAAAGAGTAAATACTGATCCCAATTGGCTTCTCTCAAGTTCAGATTCCCATACGATGATCTTCGCTTTTTAACCAAAACACTTGGAAGAATATAAGAGTAATGTATGAAAACCAAATGGAGCATTGTCAAAGCATAGTGCATGTGCCGTGCTACTTTCTTTGAAAATCACTGAGTTGGTTTGTCTTTAATTGCAGGGACCACCAGGAAGTGCTGGTCCACCCGGTGGTAAAGGTGATATGGTGAGGAATGGAATATATTCGTGGCATGCATAAGCGTGCGAAAACAACGTGTTCTTTTTATGCTCTCCAGTGTGAGGCTCTTCCTTTCAGAAGGAAAGTACTTGAAGGACCAAACGCAATGCTACGTAGCTCACAAAACAGTTATTTCTGTACCACATAGATGATCCAAATGCATTATTTCTTCCGCATGCACCACAATGAGTGCGTGAGGTGGTATCAGAACTTATACACTGTGCAAGCAGGTCTGCGAGAGTCAGAATTGATCGACTCAAGGTGAGTCACGATCACGACATGGAAATAGACATTGCTACGAGTGATCTGTGAGTAAGTCTACCAGGACCATGTGTAACGCCACCACCAGAGGCGCCACAGCCTGCTCAAACGGAGTGACCGAAGGTGCATTGCTTTGATGTTTCTCCAGTTAGCTGCATGTAGCTGCATTTGGCTTCTTTTAACCATCAAAGGCAACCATTCGTTCATTTAATCAGTACCATCGTTATGGCATTAGATATTACTTGCGGCTGCTTCAATCGTCCAGCGAATGAAGCCTTGCTACTGTGCCTACAATCTTGCTTGTCATTTCTCCGTCTCATACCGGAGACGCAGTAGTATTTTTGGTCTGTCCTTAATTATTATTTCAGGCCTCTAAGTACTGCTCTAAATCTGCGCAGGGACAAGCTGGACAACAGGGACCAACAGGATTCCCAGGTCCCCGCGGCGTGAAGGTATACAATCATTTTACTCTAGATGTATACTAAGCTCATTCGTTACGGGAAATGACAGCTTTTAACTTCATACTTACCTACCGTCGACACTAGTTACCCCTTTTTATGAGAGAATTAGGCTCAATATATTTAAAAGGTATTTTCTAGAGCACAATCTCTCATGGCAGGTTGTCACGTGTCGGTGGACCGTACAGGTGGTTTGATCGTATGCGCCGCCCTCGCTGCGCATGTTAGTAGTGGAAACACTACATTGAGACCATAGTATAGCTATGCGCGTCGATCGTAATGTGACTAAGATGAGAGCAAACAACAACAACAATAATGATAATAATAATTAAGTAATATAATGTTATAATCCTGTTTCACGTCTAAGAAACACATGATCGCGACCCGCGAGGCACACCGAAGTGGAGGGCGCCACATTAACTTCAAACACCTCGGTTCGTTCAATGTGCATCTAAGTTTAGGTACACCGAACTTCTCGCCATCCCCCCCCCCCCCCTCGCCAAATGCGGCTGGCGAGGGAATCAAAACCGTGCCGTGAACCAAACATAAACACAATATTGTGCGCAACCTTGGTTTTTGTTTTGCATGAGAAGAGCGCATAAAAAAAATTAAGAAGTCCACGAAACACTAAAAAATAACAGTATAAAATATTAAAAATAACAGGCAAACACAACGGTGCAGTTGATGAATCCAACCTTGACAACGGCAGTGAATGACGAAAAAAAAAACAACAATACCAACAAAAAAGCCAGAGCACGTTGGTGTATGCAACATGTTTATAAATTATTTTAATAGGTGATGGTTTGAGCTAGTAAACAAAAGACCAGCTGGGTTAGACATTATCAATTGCATTAAAATAAAGCCATACAACTGGGGCAGTTATATAGAGCAGAAAATGTTCGCACATATCTGCTTAATAAATGTCAGATCACTAAAAAAGAAATTTAGCTCTCGTGCAACTCGTACGTACTCTACATATACCTTATCAGTGACATCTGCCACGGCGTAGCAGTATTATTGTTTTAGGTAGCAAAGAGCTTCCAGAATAATGAAGTGAATTGATAGCAAATACTAAAATTCTAATGCACAACTTCTACACGTACAAACATTTTTTCTACGCAGCCGTGTTATAGTATAAATCAGAGAGTTATACATTTAGTAAAACCACGCTTTCGAAGAAAACGCTATAAGATACTCGAATAGAGAACATTATATAATAATTGGTTGGGTTTTAAATGCCGAAACCACGATTTGGTAGTGGGGCATGCCGTACTGGAGGGCTTCGGATATTTCGACCATCTGCTGTTCTTTGTTGCTTTGCTAATGCCAGTACACTGGCCTTGAATGATATGTTAGGTTTTACGTCCCGAAACCGCGATATCATTCAAGAAACGCCGTAGTGGAGGAGTCCGAAAATTTCGATTATCTGGTGTTATTTAGCGTGCATCGCAAAGTACATAGGCGAATTCGCCTGCATCGAAAGGTGGCCGCCGCAGCCGGGATTGAGCCTGCGACCTTCGGGTCAGCAGACAAGCACCCTAGCCACTGATTCACTGAGGCGGATGGCACACAGGCCTTTAGAAATTCACCTCCATCGAAATTCGACCACTTCGGCAGTGATCAAATTCGTGTACTTTGTGCCTAAAGGTGAACGCCATCTAATGTGCCAACTGGACGGCGGATTATTGAGATATTAATCAATGTGCATGTTGTATAATTCGTATCAGACAATCCTGAACAGTACACGTAATGATGAGCGTAAATGTAATGTTGTCGTGACCATCGTTTTATGCTTGCTTAAAGCGAAGCACACAGCCCACTACTACAAAATCTTAAGCTTCAAGAAAGAAAATTCATTGCGCAAATATACTTTTTATTCAATTCGATTCTTTTCTTATCATCAGTCGTGAAAAGTGACTGATCACAGCAATTTTCGCCGAACGCAGGCGTAAATGACAAAGGCTGAAAAAAATTGGCCCCGTATCTACATGTTTCACCGCAAATGTCGTCGAAAGACGATAGTCTTGCGTCTGAAGAGAGTGAACAAAACGTTTATTTGGTGTTCTGCGTGAGAAAATCGGTGAGTTGTATTCTGGAGGCACTGCGGTAGAGAGTCTGGATCCGTGCAGTGAAGGTGAACGATCACATCGAGGAACGTATGACACGGGCGCTATCTGGGAGTTATCTACGAAAACGAAGGAAGGCGTGCGCGCCTGTCTCAGAGGCGAAAAGGTATAGAACGCAGCGTTGGAAACACTTGCCTTTTCGAGCATCGTGGTTCATTCTCATCGAAGCGTGATAAACACTATGGTCCTTGGAATTACTTATGTATGCCCTCCCTAGTTTAAAAACACACATAAAAAATATCGACGTGTTGTTATGGTGCCTCAGATATTCGTAATAATTGCTTATTAATTGACAGCTGCGCAAGTATGAAAGCTGAAACTTGAGCAATATTGGTGGGTGCTGTCGCTGGGGTTGGCCGTTTGGGGTATCGTTTGGTGTCGTTTTGGGTATTGTTACGGCGGACAAATCAACAAACGTACAGGCATACAGAAAGACAGACGGACAGACCAAAATTTTTGCGTCAAAGTACCACAAGAAAGACTATCGTCATTAAAAAAGAAAGTCTGAAATATGCTCCGTTCATTAGGTGCTCCTGCATCGCACATGATCTTAAGAAATATTTTATCATCACTTTGCACCACAGCTTTGACACTGTTAAAATATTCAATGGGAAGCGATAAGGCAGAAATACCCATTCCCTCTTATGAAGTAAAATGCATGTGGAGCTGTATGTATACATTTTTGTGATGTCACCATATTATCAAAATTTAAGGAATGCCTCTGAGGAATGCCACACCAATTTGCTAATTTGTTCATTATCTATCATCGTACCAGACAACGAGACCATTCCTGTCATGTCTGCTTCAAATATCGTAGATTGGCAAATTACTATGCCAAACAAGTAAATTTGATCTTCGTATCTTAGTACACTGATCTTACGACTGCGGACATGAAAACGTGGTTGACATCTTCCAGTAGACATTTACGATAAAGCTACGGTCAGCACCCAACGCGGTGTTTAACAAAACCAAAGATTTATCCAGTTCATATAACACTCAGGCAGTTAGTAACAACCGGCATGAATGCGAATATGTACGTTATGTGTCTGTGGTTCAGGTAGATACTTTTTATTGTTTTTTTGCAATGCAGGGTGACGACGGTCCACGAGGGCCTCCAGGTGACAAAGGGGATAAGGTTTGTGTTTTCTCGAACTCTCGGGTCAATCATTTTGTTTTTATAAAAAATTCTGCAATAAAGAAACGCTAATTATTAGAGTTCGGGCAGTAAGCGCTTGTGAGGTTAACTCGGTCTCCTAACAGAATATTTTCACTCTACAAGATTCTTAGAAAGACTCAGCTTTGAAACATATGCACTTACTATAACCATGCGGCGAAGAAAATGACCGTGCTGTGGCATAGCGACGGGAAGGTTATGTTACTGCCAACATCGCGGGTGTTGTACGCAAGCATGTTTTTCCAAATAAAACTAGCATGAAGGCCATAGTAAAAAAATATATGTTATTGTAAAATAAGTACGACGTATTTCTTGCCGGTAGCTTGCTGGCGGACAACGATGCTAAGCTCTTAGTATAGGCGTCCCAGGAAGAAGCAACTGTATAAGATATTATACTTCAACTGCGTGTCATGTCTGTATTCGCAGGGTGCACCCGGAGTGGACGGCCAAAAAGGTGACCATGGACTTAATGGTGAGCGAGGTCCTCCGGGTACCGAGGGTGGACAAGGAATAGAAGGCCCTGAAGGCCCCAAGGCAAGTACGCATACGTCAGGGGCACATGCATTCAAACAAGAAAAACAAAGCACGCGTGGTGGTGACAGTTGGTGGATCTCTATCATTTTGCCATTATGTTCGCCTTATTTTCATTTCCTATACGTGTTTAAAACCTTTTGCTCTTTAACTTCTTGACAACTCGTGCAGGGATTTGAGGGACCTCGAGGAGAGAAAGGGCCGCCAGGACCACCAGGTGAAAAGGTTTGTTTTTTGCTTGTGCAATAACGACGTATCCAAATAAAGTTTCCTATGTCAGCTCCTTGAAAGTATATATAGTAAACTTGGCCGATATCTGTTTTTGTTTTCATCTTTGTGACTTGTAACATGTGTATTATAACATTTAGGAGCTTGGTCGGCAAGCTTCTATTGCTCGCGCCTTGTCCGGTGGTGGCATCTAGCGTGTACACCAGTATTGCTGGTCTACTATTCTCCGGTAGTCGCTCAAGGTCGCTGCTTTGGTCCCCTCTCCGGCAATTCCAACAATGCTCCTTAGATGGCGCGCCGCCATTCAAGACGTCGGTTTTCGATGACCCGCGCACTTGCCTCCTCGCGACTGCGTCCACTTCGTTTTCGTCGCTTCGAAGGCACGGTAGCACGTCATAGGTTCCTACGACGGGGTTTACACACGAGTACCGATATCGTCCCAAGCCACCTCACCTACCTGTTCTCAGCCTCGTTGAGAATGCCTGATAGCTCCACGTCTGCCATTTATGAGCCTTAGGAATTCGACTCACGGCAGCGACCAGTATGGTATAAAGGGGCAGGTGGTTAATGAGCTGATCGACGCAGCCAACACTATGCAGTGCCGACCTCGAAACATGCGCGACAACGCTGCCTTCGACGCACACATCATGCGCTGGCTCGTTAACAACCCTTCCTACCGAAATGGTCTCGCAAGAAACGCCCCTTGCACCTCCGAGCAAGCTCCTCTAACATCCTTAACTTTGTAGATATGGCAGTGATTTTGTTTCTGTTGGTCATTAAAATATCGTGCTACATGTGTAATAATATGCTATCCTCATTAGCTCTATATTATTCTCTTTCCGTATTCTATATTAGAAATGTACTTAAACTATGTAGACACTGTATGTGCCCTCACCCTTGACCTTGTTGCAATATTCCCATGGCGGCGTTGTGTGAATTCCGTAAATAAGTGAATAATTTTAGTACTATCTATCAAGTGTGACTGATTTCTGTTACATAGGGTGAATATAGTCCCGTGAAATTTTTTTACAGCGAGGAACTGTAGTTTGTATTTGATCAATACCTGATATATATGTCTATTTTCGCAATGTACAGCTTTTTTTACAAGTGCCTCCCAGGCTCCAAGTAGGAGTATTATGTGAGGGGGACTATACAGAACTTTTTTACCAAGAAAAATGGAACAAATAAAATAAATTCAAAACCCAAGTATACAATTGCCCAGTAGGAGAGTAAACATGCACAAATGTTATGAAACTTGTGTTATACATATTTAAATGAGTTGACATGTAAATGTACAACAAACACTAATGAGAGGGATATATTTAGGAAACACAGTTGTAAATAGTTAGTATTTTATTCATAAACGCCACGTGATCGCGAATGTACACAACATCATCAGGAAGATAATTACATAGAGTAATGGCACGCGATAGCGCAGATGTGTGATGGGGTTTTGATATTGGCAAGGTATTTACGTGTGCTATAGATGACTTCATGAAATAACCATAGAATCGATAGTTTCCTGCGCAATGCCAGGGATGATAAGGGCAATGAAGTCTTCATGATAGTTACACTGGAATAGTGATTGTAGTTACACGCAATAAAACGTGCAGCGCGGTTTTGCACAAATCCTAGTAAGTCAATGAGATAGGCTTGATGAGGTGACCAGATCGATGGTGCATACTCTAGTTGTGGGCGAAGAAATGTTTGATATGTCAGTTTACGTGTAATGGATGGTGCCATATGAAGGTTACATTTCAGATATCCGAATGTACGTGTGACTGTGGCAGTAGCTTTTTCAATGTGTGTTGACTAGGGTAGTTTTGGAGTGAAGTTAATGCCAACGTACTTGTATTGGTCCGCTGCGAATATAGCTTTATTGTTGATAGGATATGTGTAGACTGAATTTGACTGCTTTCGGCTGAACGTCAGTATTTTGCATTTTTCAGTCATCTGCCACTTTGAGCACCAGATTGTGATCAAGTCGAGATGCTGTTGTAGTGCCAGATGACCTGCGGGAGTTAAAATTTTGCGGTATATGATGCAACCATCGGCGAACATTCGCATGTTTGATGTGATATGTGATAGAATTTAAGTGGTCTCTCAAAGACCACTCAAGTTTTGAGAATCGCTTATAAAATATCTCTATGCACTAAAGAGAAAATTACTGTGTAGTGTCCACACACCTATATCTTTTCATGTTCTTTTGATGTTTCTTGTGGATAGTATATATCTTCTTGTTTTTCTTCAGGGCAAACTGGGTATTCCGGGATTCCCAGGATATCCAGGAACGACTGGACCGAAGGTGAAGCAGGCATATACATTTAGAATTACCTTAAATATACAAGTTCACTACTAGTATTCATTGTAAGCGTGCCTCAAATTACATTATCGCGTTTTGTAAGAGGTCATTGTTAAACCACGCCAGTGTACGTCGCTAGCGCAGAAATCTACGATAAAAGTTTGTACGAAGCCTAGACTCTACAGGTCACAGCGATTGTACAGAGTCTTGCTGCGCGTATTCATCCATGCTATAACGTAATGCTCATTCTATCCTCCTATTTCTTTCTCTTTTTTGTTTCTGTATGACCTCTCATCAGAGTAAGGTAGCAAAGCGAACATACATCTTGCAATCCTGCGTTTTAGGTGTGTTTAAAACTATTTATGTGTGCTTAAAACACATTTAAAGATGTGTTTAAAACTATTGCAAACTTTTGAGGAGCGGTGCGCCTACAGTAAGAACATTTTGGATTTACTGGCAAACCGCAACATGTGAGAAAAAAACACACGATATAGTTTTTCGCCATCAAGGCAAATAAAATTTCATTTTGCAGTACTCCTCATTGTTTATTGATCCCGTATATTTCTTCTCAACGAGTTACAATGGGGAGAGGGGCTAGGTAACAACAGGCCAGAGTTTTCACAAAGCGAGGCAGCAAACTGCATCGAAGTGGAACAGATATAAAAAGAAACAATAATTTTACTAGAACACAATACGCGAATAACAGGTTATGAATACGTTTAGCAGTTTGACATATAATGTCATGGCGCAAAAATCTTGGCAAGGAGAAAACGAGAAATGAGAGTACAAGTATTTGTTTTTAGGGGTCGCGCAACACTTTTCTGAGTAATAATTGAATATATTCATAATAGTAAACTATTGCCGCAAGATTTTTTAAACTGACAAGTCTGAACGAAGTTGCGGGGTCCTGTTACACGCTTTAACCGGCTTTTCTCTCTTTCTTTTCGTACCGACGAGCACACTGAAAGCTCTTCAGGCACAGGGATAGCAACGGATCAAAAATCTATGTCCGTTAGTTGGCATACGCCATAAGTTAAAACAATTCCTCTTTTTTTTATTTTCCTTCGAACAGGCAGCTTACCTTCAGCGTGATCACGAGCGAGCGCGCGTACACGTCGCAGCATCTCACGGCGGCCACGGTAGCTGTGCAGCTCACGGTGCTGAGATAAATCAATGGCCGTGGTCTTCTCTTTAGGGAATCATTTGTCGAAAGAAGAGCGAGCGATTTATAGCTGAGTTTGAGAACTTCTAGGCCGCATGCTGCGTTATAGCGCTTGGCCCATGTTATCCGAAGACTCGATGATCGCTCGGCAGCGTTTTCTGGTGCTGCCGAAAAAAAGTAGAGAATCCTTAAGCTTCGCCTTTAAGAGTTGAACTCGATAGCAATATCATGTCCCTAGAGCGTATTTCAAGCACTTAGTGCGTTTTTTTTTTCGAACTTGCTAAGCACCGGCTACGTGATTTTAGGGAAATAGGCGCAGTAACGTGTGTACCTCTTGTAGTGGAATGGCTTTAAACCATGAAGTCGTTATGTTAACCACACGTTATGACGCCTGATGGCAATGCACGCTTGTTCCACGCATTATTACTACAATAATTGATGTTGTACAGAGAAGCATGTATGCAGTACGCGTGTGTTGTAAAGCATGAAAGTTACTTTCACTGAATTTTGAAACAGAGGAAATTATTTTAAGTGCATTCAAAAATATACATGCAGAGTTCATTAATTGTGCTGCTCAAATAACATTTTAGACACAGAGTGCATAAAAATTGTTTTGTAGCTCTCATTTTACACTTGTCAAAGCGGACTTATGTACGTCGTACGCTATGTAAATATATACGTAAACCGCCTTCGTATTAAATACCATGTAAGAAAAAAAAAGGCGTTGCTTTGTGGTGGAATACCCGGTTGCCACGCAAACGGCCCGGGTTCGATCCCCACTCATACCTAGTATTTTTGTTATTTATTGCATTTGCATCTCTCTCGATTTTTGGATCACACACAAGATGATGGTTTTTTGCTCAGAACCAAAGACAAGGAACTTCTGGGAAACGAGCTCTTTAACGCTGACGCGTTAGAAAGTGTTGCAGGGCCTTTTTAATGCAGTAAAACAGAATCCATGAAAACAATTTTAGCATTGTCATGACGGGAACTGTAAATGACAATTTGAATCCCCAAAAATATACCAGTTGCAAGGGCCTTGTGCAGCTTCTAACTGATAGCTGTTTGCTCTCGCTGTCACCATGACAAGAGCTGTTGATGACATAAAGTCATCATACACAATTTTTCATGGAAGCTACATACCTGTATTTTGTGAGAAACGTTCATGTTTATTAGTTACGCTTGATCTCTGTGCAATGAAGATTGAAATTCGCTTAGTGCCACACTTTTCATCATCATTATCATAATCATTTTCATCAGCCTGACTACGGCTACTGCAGGGTGAAGGCCACTCCCACGTTCCACCAATCAACATGGTCTTTTGCTTTCTGCTCCACGTTCTCAAAATTTAAAACTCATCGGCCCACCTAAACTTCTGTTTTCCCCCCGTGCGTTTGCCGTCTCTGAGAACTCAGTCAGCTACCCTTGATGACAAGCGGTAATCCTGCCTACGTGCTACGTGCCCGGCCCGTGTCACCTATGATATCCTTAACCCCGGTTTGTTCCCTGAACCACTGTGCTCTCTTCTTGTCTTTTAAGATTACACCTATCATTTTGCTTTCCACAACTCGTTGCAAAGTCCTCAATTTATACTGAAACCTCTTTGTAAGCCTCCAGGTCTCTGCTCTGTAGGTAACTACTGGCAAAATGCGGCTGTTTAAAACCTTTCTTTTGAGGGTTAGTGGTAGATTAACATTCAGGATTTGAGAATGCTTGCTAATGTGCTCCACCCCCTTCTTCTTTTTCTGGTTACTTCAATGTCCCGGTTCGGCTCCGCGGTCACTACCTGCCCCGAGTAGTCATATTCCTTTACAATTTTTAGCGTCTCGCCACTTATCGTAAAGTGCTGTTTTTTGCCGAGACTATTCCACATTACCTTGGTTTTACGCATATTAATTTTCAGACCTATTCTTCTGCTTTCCGTATTCAGTTCAGTATTCATGAGCTACAATCCTTCCCCTGAGTTATTCATCATTGCAATGTCAACAGAGAATTGCAGATTACTAAGACACTCTTCACTATCTTTTATTTCTAACTCTTTCCTATCTAGGGCTCTGAAAACTTCCTGTAAACACTCGGCGAATAGCATTGGAGTAATCGCGTCTCCGTGCCTTACACCCTACTTTATTTGCATTCTGTCGTGTTTTTTAAAGAGGACGACGGTGGCTCTGGATTCACTGTAGATTTCTTCCAGCATGTTTATGTAGGTTTAGTCGATGTCTTGATCCCGTAGTGCCTGCATCAATGCTGGTATTTATACTGAGTCCCTTGTGGTATTACAATATGATTAGAAGGCAGTGTACTCTCAGAGGCTACGCATACGTGCTCTGTAAGAGTAGGATTAGAAAATGCCTATTATAACAATAACAGATCTTTTCATATGCAAAGCAGGTCCTTTACTAGCCTGTGTAACGCTGTCCCGTACCTTCGCACGAACCCCCTCGCCGCAGGTGTTGGAGCGGTGCCAAGTAGGTCAAGTCGGAACTGCGCATTGACGTCACTCTCTCCTTCCCCGCAACAGCTTCCGGCCCCTCCACCCGCTCGCAACACACTGCCTTCTCACTTCACCCTCTCTACTACAGGAAACACTCACTCGCACATCTAGGGGAAATACTATACAAATTTAGTTGCGCGTCCGCAGCAGCCGTACGGACGCAGCTTGCCACGCATTCGCAATGGGAGGTTGCTTCCGTACGGATGCTGCCGTTTGTCTACATTTCCGCTCGTTTACCTGCGATGAAACTTACACGAAAACCAACCCGTCTCCTATGTCTTTGCGTTTCAAAGAAACGTTTACTCGAGCAAACGCTACGCAGAGTTTCGCTTGAAACCATTCTTCCAGCACGTGTGCTGGCACCCGTTTCAACCGGGTCAACTCCGTCGACGCCGTTTCAACCGGGTCAACGCTGCTTCGCATCCCATCAGGGTTCTCTTTGGGGAGATGGTCGTAATGTTTTTTGCACGTTTGATCTTGTAATTTCTAGTTCCTTGGCATCTTGAAGCTCGATACTGTAGAACGGCTCTCCTCATAGAGAAATCAGTGACGCCCTCAGTGCCTTGTCACTGTTGGCGAATAAAATGACCTTTGAAATGTTTCATTGCAGGGCGAGAAAGGATTTCATGGGAAGCCCGGAGAGAAGGGGGACAAAGGTGACCGGGTACGTATGAACCTGAGGTACTTTCTCGAGGTTCATGTTCGAATATACAGGGTGTTTCAAGCAGTGTGTCACGAGATCCTCAGCAAAAGATAATAAGTTATTTTCACAATGCCAGTCACCGTTATTTTTGCTATGGTGGCAGGTATCTTAAGCTGAGCAATGGAAATAATTACCACGCACAAAAAATAAGTTAATTAACTTTTTAGCTACTGTACACCGGTGGTCGGGCAAAACTGCAGTCGTTCAAGCAAAAATCCTGTTGCTGCTTTCAAATTTTGCAAAAGCAGCCACTGGCAAATACTGTCGAGTAATAAAATCCAAAAAGTTTCGTTGGTGGAACCGAAACCCAGAAGAATGCAACACCCGTACTTTTGCGAGACGTCCAGAATAAGCAAGCGTACTTCTAACAACCATCGATTGAATTCGTTTCGGGGTTGTGCGGGTTTTGTTTGCGATCAGAGGAATTGTGGTGCACGAGCGCTAGAATATGCAGAACTAACACGACTGCAATAACCGTTGTGAACAGTGATGACATTTTGGTCGCCCACTTGTTGCGTTCATCGGTGCTTCAGGTTCACTTTCGCTGTGAACTTGGTTGAATTGCAGTTCTCCTGAATAATTACTGAAAGCGGATTTCTTGAAATATCAACGTGGCAATCAGCCCTTTGCAGAAAGGGCAGCCATTCTTCAATTTGAACCAGGGGCCAGTTCGCACCAACTAAACATTAAATAATTTATTTATTACTGTTCCTATTTGGGTGTCTTGTCCTCTTAAGATGTCTCCCAGAGCAGGAAAACTAATCTTTCCGCTAAAGATAAAGGCAACGAGGGAATACTGCATTTCTGTTATTGTTATGATGTTCGGGCACATTCCTTGAAACACCCTGTATATTATTTATGGAATATTTGGACTTACGTAGAGCCATAAAACACACCTTGCAGTTTAGCCTTAATCCTAGATCTGTGCAATGAGGATAATTTTACTAAACTACCTTTACCTTCTGCTAAACAAACATGACACCAAAAGCAGCGAGTATATGCTCTATTGGGAACATTTAGAACACGCACAACCATCGAACCACGAAAAAAAAGAAAACGAGCAGTTTGTAACAAGTCGTGGGAAGTTTGGTAGAGCAAAAAACGGGCCCGTCACTGCTTGTACTCCTCGTCGACCGGCACGTATAGCTTTGGGATCTGGTAGCTTTGGGATCTGTGGTGATAACTGTGCTGTCTTTTTCTGTCTTTTCTAGGGACCACCAGGTCAACCTGGAGAGCGAGGACAAATTGGACCACGGGTAAAAGAAAATTAAATACAAGATGAAAATTTTTACCCTGCACTAACATCACCTCTATGAGGCAATTTATGGACGGTGTATTATACTCCTCAGTCTCAAGAATGCACTCATCAAAAATATTTTCAAAGCTCTAATATTTAGATTTTTGCGCTTAAAACAAACGCAGGGAAATTATTAACTAAAAATATTGAACGATTCTGCCAAAGTGTAATGGTACCCATTTGGGTTCTCTTCAACTTTTCAAGTCTCTGTGACTGCATGCAACAAAAGCATGTGAACGAAATTACTTTCAATATGATCTTCGGGGCATCCACAATTAAATGAATGTACTATAGACGTTGTCGTTCATGCTACAACTAAGAAAAAAACACTTTCATTCTGACGAGGATGCAGCCGAGCGCTCGTGCAGTGCTCAGTCATTTTCGTTGATGATGATGATGATGATGATGATGATATATGGCGTTAACATCCCAAAACCACCATATGATTACGAAAGACGCCGTAGGGGAGGGCTCCGGAAATTTCGACCACCTGGGGCTCTTTAACCTGCACCCGAATCTGTGCACACGCGCCTACATCATTTTCGCCTCCATCGAAAATGCAGCCGCCGCAGCTGGGATTCGATCCCGCGACCTGAAGGTCAACAGCCGAGTATCTTAATCACTGGACCACCACGGCAGGGCGGCCATTTTCGTTCACTGGTATTCCGAATTTGACTAGATATATGACGTCACTTCTTGGAGTTTCGTGAACGCAGCTCATGCTTATTGTGGCATCACAATGTCGACACGGCGGATACTAAACTGTGGTGATCTGTAGCCCATAAAACAACGGTACCTAACTGGGTACACTGGGACCGAGGAGCCTTCAATAAACCACACCGGTGCGCACCATGGCCCCGCCGCGGTGGTCTAGTGGCTAAGGTACTCGGCTGCTGACCCGCAGGGCGCGGGTTCGAATCCCGGCTGCGGCGGCTGCCTTTCCGATGGAGGCGGAAATGTTGTAGGCCCGTGTGCTCAGATTTAGGTGCACGTTAAAGAACCCCAGGTGGTCTAAATTCTCGGAGCCCTCCACTACGGCGTCTCTCATAATCATATAGTGGTTTTGGGACGTTAAACCCCACATATTATCATCATCATGCGCACCATGGCACATAGGCGCAACGATAATTGGACGAAACGTTGAAGGGTGCACCCGGTTCGCACCAGTGCCATATGACCAAGATGATGTAAAAATTATCACGTGTAATAAGCGAACCAAAAAACATAAAATGTGTGCCCAGTATTACCACATTAAAAAGTGACCCACAGGAATGATTGGTCCTTTCACAGAACATAAAATCCGATTACGTGATGTATGTCAGTGCACATCATGAAGTGCAGTTGAAACATGTGGTTAGCAAAAGAGAAAATGAAAGTTTGAATGGCTGCAGTCATTCATAGGTATAATTATCTGAAAAAGTGAAAAAGTGCGGTGTTCATCCATGTTTTGGGAAATTGCCTTGTTTGGGGAATTTCCTGTAGCCCGTTTAGCTCGTTATCAAATATGAGGACGTAAAAGTAGCTAAGTGGGCATGTTTAAATACTACCGCCTGATCTGTTGTCGTCATCAGGCCTTACACTTCAGTATACACGTCAAATATTATGAAGGAAACAAGCGCAAATTTAAGGGCTGGTTTTCTTTGTTAGACACAGTATTGATGAGAACTAACAGGCAATGATGCTAGGAAACGTATAAGGTATGGTATTAGAAGTAATTGTAATTTAAACTTGAAAAGCAAAAGTGCAGAAAAAAATAACCTATAACCGGCAGAATTCGAATCTGCGACCTTCGAACAGCACGTCCGATGCACTACCACTGAGCTATGGTGGCGGTCGCCCTCTGTCCACTTATAGGGTATATATGCGCAATTAAACGTGAGACCTTCAGTCACCGCCACCTGTTGCCATTATGGCGAGCGTTGAACGCTCTTTCTTGCCTGTGTGGCGTCAGTAAGTATGTCATCCTGTTACGCGATCGCAGCCGACCAATAATCCCTCGTATACCACATCACGGCATCAAGTGTGCCGGAACGAGACCCTCACTGTGAATGAAGGAAAGTGCAAATTTAAGGGCTCGCTTTTTTTTGTTAGACACAATAATAATGAGAACTAACAATGATGCAGGGAGAAGTACAGGGGATCTTATTAGCAGTAAGTGTAATGTAAATGTGAAGAAAGAAAAGTTGACGAAAAAATTGCTTGCCACTGGCAAGATCCGAGGACTTTTTGAAGAGTGGTTTTTGCTGGTATAAGTTTTTTTTTTAATATTTTGGTGCCACTACTTTCCTCTAATCGCTCACCAATTTACTGTTATAAAATATGAGGCCTATCTTTGAGATTGACGTTTTAAATATAATTTAGCGGTCGCTATTTCGCGATGTCATTCTAGTCGATTACTTGTAGCCAGTAGTTGCTCTTCATAAAGCGTGACGTTTTTTTTTTATTTTACTCTCCCAAGGGAAACAGAGGCCAGAGAGGAAGAGTCGGAAAAAGAGGGGCACCCGGAGAAAAGGTGACTACCACGAGTTTTATACTTTGCACGCAAGTTGAAGATGGCGTGTAAAAGCAACGCGTGACGACTTTTATTGCATTGACCTCTGTTTATACCTTAGAAGACTGAGTAAACATCCCATGTGTCATGTTAAAAAAGCATGAAGATGCAGTAGGAAAATGATGCAGTAGGAAACGAGGAAACAAGATATGAACAAAAAAAAAAAAGGTTAAAGCAGGTTATCATTTGGTTGGTTGCTTTGCAAGTAACCCTAATACAGTGCAAACAAATAATGACCTTAACGACAAGTGAAAATAATTGTTGGTGGAGCCTGCATTCGTGTACAGCACATGCAGAGTGACAATTTATACACATCCAAGCTTTAAAACCAGCACGCCTATTAGCAGTATGTAATCGGCCTTCAAGCCTATAGCTGCCGAATATTATCGTTCATCTATCATCGTCAGATTTGTTTACAGATTTGATCACATGACTAAGTGCTTCCCACCACTTGCAAGACTTACGTTCGGCTCAATGGTATCCTCTACGCCATTTCAGGGCAGCACCGGGGAGCCTGGACCTACTGGTATTCAGGGCGAGAGGGGACCCCAAGGCCCTGAAGGCGCGAGAGGCTTTATGGGAGTGCCAGGATCACCTGTGAGTTATGTGGATGTCAATGTGCCTTCATTTTAGCCGCGTAACAAAAATCAGCAAGAACGAGACAATGGTAAACAAAGAAAACACGTATCTATATAGTGCTACTGTATGCAAGAGAATGAGGACGAGAAGATAATAGGAATATGAAGATGTAGAAAATGAAGAGTGGCCAATATACGCAAGAATATAGGCTACATACATACAGATGTTTACTATGTACCTTCTTATACTACAGTCGGATACATCATAAGAAGGCAGGGTAGGCTTCGTCCAAATAACTTAAAATGTCAGTAGGTTTATTCTTCTACTAAAAACTCACAGTTTCACCGCAAGGGCGAAACAATGAATACGATACAATAACTTGGAATGTATTACCGAGAACGGCTAGCAGATCAGAACTTGCAGCGCGCTGCTCACGCACAAAGAACGCACGAAAACAACACACACAAGACGAGGGCTAACTAACAACGTTTACAGCTGGACGCTTAAAGCGCAGTTTAAACATAAACAACTCACGAAACGTAATCAGAGGTACAGTTATTAGTGCGAACTAACGAGTGTCCCAGTTGTTACTTCGCTGTGTTTGAAAAGCGTGCTCTTTTCGCAAACGGGGCCTGCCCAGCGAGCGAAGTGATCTTTTTGCGCCTGGCAACTAAAAGCAATCTTTCCAGTGAAAGGTCAAGGCACTCATTTCTCCCCAGCGAAGGGTGTAAGCGGTATGCACGCGAGGAAGAACTCTCTCGAGGAGAGGCGAGGATGACGCATCACGTGACAACGACGTCATGGTTTAGTGTGTCGACTCGGCCTCTTCGCGGCTCCTCACCGCTGAGGAGGCAAAGATCGTTTCTCCGACCGTTCAAACGAACCCCGTGTTGCGGGAGATGTAGCGGAATTTCGGGTGGGTCTCTGGCCACATTGTAGCCATTTCTCTTCCAGAATGCGGTGGCGGCGGCGGCCGTTCCAAATTACGTTCCAGACTTGCGTGTAAGATGATGGCGAAAATGAACGATGAAGCAATTCTTTTTTCTTTTCTCTCGTGGAAGAATATCTTCGCTTGTGGGAACGTCCCTTCCGATGACTATGGTGAAACTAACCTAAAGAATGGTGTGTGGGAGGTGATATCCAAGCAGATGATGGAGCACTACTATCTCTATGGAGTGATAATTATATTAGTGTTAAAGTGATTATACGGATAAGAATTCTGACATCGCCTGCTTTTGTTGTTGTTGATGCTGCTGCTGCTACTGCTCTGCTTGTTGAGCCTGATGTAGTTGTCGTACTTTATAAAGAAGTTTTTCTAAAGGGCCTCTTTATTCAAGGTAAGACGCCTAAAATATAGGCAGTCGTAGAATCTGAGAGCTGCTTTTTTTATTTCCAGAAACATGACATACTTCACACTTTACTTTATCGGCTGCACTGATTCAGCAGAATTTGAGGCTGAGATCACGCAGTGAAGACAGAACCGGTCTTTTATTACCCTGTGTTTCGAATTTATTAAGGAACGCTTACACAGATAATTGTCAAATATAATATGCTTGATCCCTTACGTTCTCGGTTGTTCTATGACAAAAATGTGATGATAGCATAAATACTTCGTCCACAGAAAACCACCCACATCGAAAGATACTTGATTGAAATTCCTATCTACCAACTGAATAGTAGTATTTGACGAATCAGGGAGGCTGTCAGCAATTTTGTAGTCGAAAAAAAAAAGCCATTGTCAATGACGCTGACCAGAATGTTGCTTTGGGCGAGTTCGTCTTTGCAAAAAGGAAAGGCTTGAGGTGGCGAGTCGAACCAAGGGCAACGCCGCGTCTGCATTCCACAAAAAAAGAACATACAAACAAGAAAGTTTCTAAAAGCAGCAAAGTGGCAGGGGGGAGGGGTGCAAAACGGGCACTTCCCTCAAACCGCACCAGCACTTTCCTCACCCAAGATACACCAGCGCTTTTCTTGTTTTCCAGTTAAGACACAACGCGGCTTGTGAACGCCCTCCCCCCCCCCCCCCTCTAGCCTACGCGTGGCACATCTCACGAGATACTAGTACCAAACGAGGTGTTAAGTTGCCCTGCAGTAAGCTCAAGAGCAAAGCTTCAGAGAACTCATACGGGGAACTTAGCCAGTACCAAACGTGGTGGCGAAACGTTATTGTTCGTGACCCAAGACGCATGTTTTCATCGTTTCTCAGGCGCAAAAGAGGCCCATCATGCAACGATGGGACATCTGATGCTGGAATTCGAAACGAATGACAAAACCCGATTGAAACAGTCTTGGTGTGACATGCGATGCGTAATTTTAACTGTTCCTTTTGAAGATGTGTATTGTGCTGTACTTGAAATACAGAATGTTTATTACCGTTATGATTGAAAAGATAAACTCATTTTGGACGATGACCCTTTTCCTCCTTTTCGCTGTCGCACGAGTACGCTTTCTTAGTCAAATGTTTCCTTGCTAAGCATAAAAAAATTCTGGGTTTTCGCGCATGCCGAAACAACAAAATGAGTAAAAGGCATGTCATTATGGGACACTCGATTGCGCTGTCTCGTTGTACTCTCGATGGCGAAGCTCAAGCGTCATCCAAGTTTTTTAATAACCTTGTTTTTTTATCGTGAACCGTAGCTTAGATGGGCCTTCACCACCCCGAGCTCAGACAAGGAAGTGCTTTCTTTCTCGCCTTCATTGCCCTCGCTATAGGTTATATCACCTCCTCGACTTTTATTTACTAAAAGCACGCGTACGATACCAGTACTAAGTGTGGGGCCTATCAGGAGTTTGCACTTGTCGACACATGGTGTTATACCCGCTTGCACCACTGAAAACACATGAAGTGAAGTTAAATCAGTAGGCCACGCATGATAGTCATGCGAGAAAAAAAAAACGGTTGTACGGATTCATGACAAAGCAGTGTAAAAAACAACTGACAATTCATATTTTACGTATGGACCAGTTGAGAGTATGTACAGTAATTACGTCTCGTGAACCACTGTTAATTTGCACGAAGTGAAGCAGAAAGACGATAAACGCCAGGAAAGAATAAAATGCTCGCTTATTTTGTGAGGTTCGTGAGTGGCCATTCAAGTACTCCGGTATTATCGTACTTTTTCGCCATCGACATTGATAGTTGCTAATAGGTCTGGCTATTGTCAGTTTTGTGTGCCTCAGTATGGTCAGTTGATCAATCAGAACTTTATAATCCCCAAAACTCTGCATATATATTTCTCGTCGGTAACAATATCATGGCAGGGCTATTGGTAATACAGGTTTGTGAAGAGCTCATGGCTCTTGGTAGTATTTTAAGAAAGTTGCGACAACTCTCCGAACTCCGAACATACGTGGTTCTTCTTTTCAAAACGTCCGTGCAGGGGGCGGCGGGAAAGGACGGGCTTCCGGGACCTCCAGGTGAACGAGGGCCACCCGTAAGTTGCTGGTGTCAGAGCCTCGGCGCAAGCTTTCTTTTGTGAGCTACTCAGATTTGGCAGGCACGCATCTCATTTCTCGTGCTGTTCCCAGGGTGAAACCGGCACAGCAGGACCTCCAGGGCCACCTGGCGTCATCGGACCGGCGGTATGGCAGTATTCTCAAATATCATTCTCATATTTAGCATTCTTCATTTTGCCACTTCCTTGCCGCCGTACATAGAGTGCCCCCCCCCCCCCCCCCATCTTGAGGCATTAATTCAATTTCCATGATGACGGTGATGATGCTGCGTCCGCACACACTATAAAACAAGCTATCACAATTGTGCACTTTTAAATACGCTCTCTATCGATCTATTCAGATGAGCTTGTTGTGCGTGGGTCAGAGACACTCGATAAAGACACTCGATTGTGGTCATAGCATTCATTCCAAAAGTCTTGGATATGACAGTGAAGTTCTAAAAATTTATGGAAAAAATTCTTAGGGAGTTGTCCGAATGATGCGCACGCGTATACTCCATGTCATGCATCAGGCGCAACGCTGTGACACCTAGTTAGACGTCTTGGACTATATGAGTTTAAACCAAAAAAATAGTTAAGTGAATTTATCTCCCGTTATGTGACTTCTCCTATTTTAGACTGAATGATAAATAAATATGATTGTTTCTCAGATATCGACAAACGTATTTATTTACACGTATGTGGATAGGACGTTATGGATCTTGTAGCATGGTTCACGTCAGTGGATCAGCCGCTAGAGTGCTCGGCTGCTGACCGGAAGGTCACGAGTTTAATCCCGGCCACGGCGGTTGCATTTCGAGGGAGGCGAAATGGTAAAGACCTGTGTACTGTGCAACGTCAGTGCACCTTAAAGAACACCACATGGTAAAAGTTTCTATATCCCTCCAGTACGGCGTCTCTCATAATCATAGCGTGGTTTTGGGACGTAAAATTTCACATGTTAATAGTTTTGTTTCTTAGTGTCTATTTGTTTTTTTGTTTACGTATTGTGGCCTACAATCGGAGCTAATTGCGGAAGCAAGCTTATGGATTGATTGATATGTGGGGTTTACCGTCCCAAAACCACCACATGAGTATGAGAGACGCCGTAGTGGAGGGCTCTGGAAATCTCGACGACCTGGGGTTCTTTAACGCGCACCCAAATCTGAGCACACGGGCCTACAGCGATTCCGCATTCGTGTAAAATGAAGCCTCTGCACCTGGGATTTGATCCCGCGACCTGCGGGTCAGAAGCCGACTACCTGCGGGTCAGTAGCCGACGAATACCACCGCGAAGGGGGGGGGGGGGGGTCGCGTAGGCAAGCTCTAGACGAGCGGACTTGCACATAATAGATTCGAAGCATCATCTAGCCGAGTTCAATCCGGTGTGCCTGCGGTGTGACCACACATACTACGCATGTGCGTCCCCTCCTCCCATTTCTCCTCTGTAGACGTCCCCAATCATTGTAGACGTCCCCAATTATTGTAGACGTCCCCATCAATGTACTCGTCCCTAATCATTGACAAACTCGCCTAGCGGCATGTTTTTATTTATGGCGCTCATCTACTGGCTGCATTGAAAAAGTTACGAAAGGTGCAATAATAGAAACATCTTCAATTGAAATATATGTCAAATGTCCATACTACACCAGTTAATTCTCCATTATTTGGTTGCTACTTGCTTTAGGACATTCTCTAATAGTTTTGAGAGAAGGTGTGAGTAATCTGATTCAATCTGTTGCATACGCTTTATCAGACGTGAACGTGTGCTTGATTTCCGTGGGTGTTTCAGGTCTTGGCAGGTGATAACAAATTAATAACAAACTGCTTTGTTTTGTTTGAGTAACTTACTGCGTCGGCACATTTCTACGTAATTTTGTGCCTTATTTTTCTATCTAAGGAGTGCTTTTTTTTTCCAAGGGCCCACCCGGGGAAACAGGAGCCTCCGGTGACATCGGACCACCTGGTCGTCCGGTGAGAATGCGCTGATCCGGCCGGGTTTTTTTATTTATTTTATGCTATCGACATTTTCTAGGCCTCTCGTGGTAATCGATACTGTGGCTTCCGGCACGCTTATGCTTCAGTAAACAACCTATGCTGAAATCTTACCGCCTTTCTCGCGTTTTATAAACGTGCGCAATGCCAGCCTTACAGCGCCGATTTTGCACTTCTTCATGAAAAGGTCCCTGTATGAAATTTTAGAGAATCCTGCAGGAATTCAGGGAATAGCTTAAGATCGTAAGTATAAGTGCACTGTCTCTTTTTTTGAAGCTGGTGTAATGCAGGAGACTTGCTTTCCTGATAATTAGATGCAGTATGAGACACGGAACTTGTCGTAACACAGGCGCGCGCAGCTAAGCAGGAAGGACGATGGTCGGGCAGTCAACGACCGCGTTTATTCTCCGCAGCGTGGTTATATACATTGGCATTAGGAGAGGGTGAAGGGAGGGGGGAAAAGGGAGAATGAAGGCGCACAGGGCCCAAACGAAATGGTGCGCGCGCAGCTGGTTTTGCTGGCGTTACAAACGAAACAAATACAACAGAACCACTCGCATGAATTGGCAGTGACCGGTAGCAGGCGCGTTGGTTACAATATTATCTACGTGGAAGAGATTTTTATGAAGCTCAATGTATTTATCTCGTCATTGGGTTCACGAGATGGATTGGTGGGAACCATCGCGGCGTTTTCCGAACGACTGTGTTTCCAAGAAAACGTACAAAAGGGCACTAGCGAAAATTAAGTTAAGCTATTCTCGTACACTAAGGTTCTCAAAAGCGAGTGCAGATGGTTTATATACTACGAAAGGACAGTGAAAGCCGTCTATTGTAGTAACCTTTGACAAACTTGCGAGGGAGCACCATATGATTTCACAGATTTTGGTGATCAAGGTTAAGGCCTCATTAATTATTAAAATCAGTAAAAAGAGGTTTTCAAGGTACAAGTATTATCAAACTGAGCTTGTAAACTGTTGCATTATTCTGAATATGAGGAGTGAAAAAATTTGCGGCACTAACACACTGACGCTATTGGCGTATATGTATGGCCGTCAGTGAAACTGCGACAGGATAGTTCAACCTCTAGTTGCCTTTCGCAATTTACCATTGTCGTTTTCCCTTTAAAATACTATACTCTGGCATACAAAAAAGTGACACGCCTGTCTAAACTGACCCTGTTTTCAGTAGAGTTCGCTCCTAGTGAAAGCACCGTCAGGCAGTTTTCAAGCATGCAGGAATCATTGTACTTTTCTCTTACATTCAATGACGTTTGCCAAGTACGTGCACTGCCCACAGCGTGTAGAGCTCGGTCAGTCAGTGACCTGTAGTTAGAGCGATTCGTAGAGGGACTGCTTTCTAAATCTATAATGAAATTAAAATATTATACGATCTGAACACGTCTTAAAACTCCGAAAGAGAAAAATAGAAAAAGACTAGGATGGCCAGAGTATCTAAAAAACTTTGAGTACAGCTGGCTAGTGAAGTTAGCAACAATGATTTTGAGTTGTCATAAAAATATAAGCTGATTGATGTAACACTGCTGCAGGCCCAATAGTCATCATAGGAGAGAAACAGGAAATGAGCAGCACATATTAAAATACGAATACTTTTGAATGGTTTTCCTTAATTTAAATATAAGTGCTTCGAAAAATACTTTGCTGCGAAAATAATGGACAGTACTTTTAAACAGCAATCTGGTATAACCACTAGTGCATACAATTCAAGGAATTTGTAAAGCTTTATCCACTTATTCAAGTGCTAGAATTTCTTGAGCCGTGAACAAAAATATTATTCAGTATCGTATGGAATTGGCTAATAGGCAGTTTCAGTGGAAGTAGTGTCCTGCAAATAAACATGAGATACCAATTTCCACTGATTTAATCGATTCATCAGCCTTTATACCAGGCTACGTTAGGCAACGTTTCAAACGATTATATTGTGTAATGTGCCCCGTGTACAAAAGGATGCCAGCATATTGCTTTCGACCTAAATCTAATTAACTCAAACCATAAAAAAGCGGGATTTCTTTGTTGGAATTTATGTGGAATGTGGCTACCTCCTTGCAATATTTTGCCTGTTGCTTAGGGTGTTCCGGGTGAGACAGGCCTGCCTGGACCAGCTGGAAAAGAGGGTCCGACGGTACGTTACTCACAATTGTTTTTGTCGCAGCCATGTGCTGATGCTTAGTAAAATTCATTACTGCTAGTAGCTTCTAAAGTATAACTTCTCCGTTATTGTGAAATGTAATGCGAAATGTGGCGTACTTGGTTGTGTACATTCGGAGCGCAAGGTACTACAATGGTGCTTAATACATTTTGTTGCATTATGACTATTTTATTAGGCAGTGTATTTAGTGTTCTATCAGGTGTTTTGTATAGTATGTGAGCACATTGTAATTTTCTATTTTAGGGCCATTTAGCCTGAAATAGGCACTGTGTGTTATAAAAAGGCAATAAATATCTCTTCACATAGAGGAGGTTGCGCACCACTGCATTCACAACAAAGTCGTGAAAAAACAACATTGTCATATTTAGCAAGTGCAATAAGAGGGATGTTTGCAAGGCATTGTTGCGTCTGCGCGATGTTTACCCGGCAGTTAACACATGCACATTGATTTGTGTTGACTTGCTTTTCTTGAAAATGTCCGCGAATTCACTATTTGACCAAAGGGTCATGCAAACAACCGCTACAGAAGTTAAATTTGGGAATCAGTTAGGTTGAAGCTTGCGAGTTAAAGGAGGTTCACTAAAGAATTGTCATGCACCCGTTTTTTCAGCACTATCTACGCAGTAACTGTATGCGTATGCTGATGAATAAATTGTGCTGCTCAAAAATGCGTTTAAAAATTTTCAAACTGGATTTTCTCCCGCATCGGATAAGCTTGCTTTTGTCTCCGGAAAGCAGTTTAAACGCGCAGCAGCCGCGTTTATAGGCCACCTACTGCTCCACTGGTGACGGCGCAAAATATTGCTGCTGCGTTAAGCACCACAGGAGACAAGCAGATGTCTTGAAACTGAAAAGTTGGAGGGACCAGAGATACACATGTTTGTTAGATGCACAGTGCACAAGGCGTAAGTGCATATATACACGAAAACAGACAAACTCGCACACACTTGTGCGCATCAGGAGTAATCGCTCGGTTATACGGGCTTACAAATGGATCACCAATGAACTTAGTTTTTAAGCGCGCGTTCTTGTCCTCCCAGGGTCCTGTTGGCCTTCCGGGCAACAAAGGCCCTCCTGGGCCTCCAGGTCCTCCAGGCTTTCCAGGAGAAAGGGGGAACATGGGGCCACCGGTGGGTGTCCTGTCTACGTGTGACGAGCTTTCGACTTGGCAGCGTTTACCTTGCCCATGCGCCTATAGAATTTATCTTATGCCTTTGCGTTTGCCCTAATTTCAATGATGGAGATAAAATAGTACCAATCACTCTGTATAATCCCGTCGATGATACTGTATAGAGCCACTTTTAGCAGATCAGTTTACAGGCAATTGTGCATTGCGATCTTGTCTTACTGTACAAAGTAAAAAAAAATGTAGGTTTAATGGCTCGTTTTTTTTTGTTAGAAAGAATATTATTGAAAAATAACTGGCATTATCGTCTGTTGGTTCTCAGTAATATTGTACACAGTAAGATGGTCGCAATGATCATTTCACAACTTCAATTTTTATTCGTAGAATATGTAGAACGATTAAGCTCCAGAAAGAATGTGGAGTTGTTCAGCCCAGAAAATAGGCTGCCCCGATATTTTCGTTCTCTGATGTTTTAGTTGTTTGTTGCCACAACAATTCAGTTGCAGTGTGTATTCTCGAAGGTGCTCCAGCACCAGGGAAAATGACACGCAAAGCAAGAACGAGCAGATGTTTCATAGATGTTAAATTTCTTGAAAAGTTAGCACATAAGTTGAAAATTTAGTGGTATCTTTGCACTTTCTATGCGCTTGTGGTAACAAAGCTTGCCTATTGAAGCGGGTAAATCATAAAACATAGCGGTCAACATAAGCAGCTATGGTTGACAGTGTTGCGAGGGAAGGCGATAAACTATGTTGTTGATTGTACTCTGGGAAGATAACGGCAAAATATATATAAAGATTTGATTTCGTCGCTTTCCAGCGACAAAATATTGTCGATATCATTTATCGATGATTGCTTAATAAACTTATAGCTGTAGTGAAATCTTCAGCTGTATACGAGTTAGTTGTACATTATTAGGATGCTAAGTTGCAATCTGCCTTTCTTGTTCCTGCATAAATTGAGATTTCAGTACTACAGTTTCCAATACGCTTACGTGATATTCAAGGGTATAATATTGGTTCGGATGAACGAAACCTTGCCACACTGGAGAACATTTTTGTCTTATTTACAGGGGTTCCCCGGTCCTAAAGGTGAAATTGGGCTTCCAGGAGCGCTCGGGCCACCCGTGAGTACACAGCCTTGATGGGCTCGCAGAAGTTGTTATAGTGTTAGTCCGCGGGAGTGCATCCGTCGTTTCGCAAAAAAGTAGGGCAAGGGAACTTATTCGAAGAAAGATAGAACTCATTACGTGCGCTAAAAGAACTATGTATTAGCACCAAAAAACTTGAGGGCAAACTTTGAATTACCCTAGTTTATTAGAGTCTATGATGTGGCAGTTGGGACTCAGTTGTGAATTTGAAGAACAATGTTTAGCCACAAGGCGTCAAGGCAGGGTAATTGGGGCAGCGTGCACTGAAACTCAGTGACTGACTTTTTATGAAATACGGTGTTGAATTGACTTTTACGGACAAGAAAAAAGTTCTATCAAAACGATTACCCTGAAAAAGAAACTTTCTGTGTCCATAAGTTCCAAAAAAAGGCGGGGGTGAACAACTAGAAGACACTACTGCAGAGTCAGTATTACAATATAATCGGCCAGCAGAACAAGTTCATAGAAAATGTTACAGAAAAAAGCCGGACTGAGTCAGAGACAGGCTAGTAGGCTTCAAATTGAGTCGTCAATAGATGGGTGCCAATAACGCAGTAACCACAGGATACACAGATAAGTTAAAAGCATTGGAAACGAAATTTAGCCCATATAAACGCTAAGTGACTTATAAAGAAAAGGACGTAGCATAAGACACATTTTTTGTTAAAGGGACCCTGAAAGTTTTTTAAAGCAGTCATGGAATGGATTTACTAAAGAAGCTTAGGGCCTCACGAATTAACCACCGCAAAAATATTTATACCCCATCCAGTACGAGCGGTGTTACATACAAAGGTTCGTAGCACACTGAAATTGCATTCTGTTTTCTCTCGTCCTGAGGAAAGCACTAGAAGCTAATCAGGGACGGATGGCCAAGGGAAGGGAAACACGTCCCGTAAAACTCGTGATCTTGAATACTTTTCTTTTTTTTTTTTGAATACGCAGCTCTTTAGTGAAATCACCCACGCACGCATGAAGAAGTCGCGGGCTCTTGTGGCGTTTCCTGTAACAACCAAGCGCGCCATGCTAAAATTGGTCAATGGCTTGCAAAACAGCTGTGACATATTTTTCCGCTTGTTGCGTTATTTGTCGAAAGAAGAGAAAGCAATTTTAGAAGACTTTGAGAATTTATTGTGAATTCCAGGCCGCGTGCTGTGAAATAATATTCGCCTGTCGTGTTCTCGGGAGCCTGTACTATACCGACCGGTGGCGTTTTCTAGTCATGCCCAAACAGTGCTGCAGGTACCCTTTACGTCAGATTTAACAGATACACTAAACGAAGAAGTGGAGGTCTAAACACTATGAAGAGTTAAGACAGAGAGAGGTGCACAAAATAAGGAGAACTGAAACACGGGCAGCTTACAAGAGGTTCGACAACTAAACCGCATTTTGCCGAAATCTTATTCGAAGAGTCATTAGTGCTGCTATACGTAGTGTGCCTGTTGCCCTTGAAATAATGGACTTGTTTTATGGCAGCTATGCGTTACTGTGTGCTAACACCATAGTTATATCCTGCCATATAGACATGGCAAATATATGAAGCTTTAGTTCCACTGGCCCGGTCATTCTGCATCACAAATTCGCATAGTTCATTCCGAATAGTGCACGCCCAAGAGCTAGTTTTAGGGAAATATTGAAGTAGGTAGTTTGAGATGACTTGAAAGACTGTTTAAAGCAACCAGATGAAGCATATGAGGTTGTAGTTTTGGAATTGTGAAAAAAAACGTATGCAGAGATGTTCTTTCAAGTCATGAAAGCCTGCTGGGTTAATTACGAAAATATCCAGGGGTCGCCTAAATTAAGTAAAAGTGCAGGTTTCTGGGTTCACGCGTCGTGGAGGGCACTTAAAAACTTTGAATATTTGTAAAACATTTTTCAGAAATAGAAAACCTTGAAATATTTGCAAGCAATTCTTTCAGAAACCTTTCAAACGTTTGGTGCATGGAACATTGCAGAAAAATAAACAATAACAACAAAAAGTGGCTTAAACATACCTGTTGGACTGTTACAAAAATTTTGCTAAATGTTTTCAACATTTCGGAAATGTTTTAGTACACCCAAAAAATGCTACCCTCAAGAAAAGTTACACTTGAAGTTTGAAAAATTATCATGGTGCAATATGGTGTTCAGGCTCATGATCTGCCTCGAAAGGCTTGAGTGGGTAGATGAAGAAAAAGTGGCAGTGGAAATGGTAATGTCATAACTTTTGCAAAGCCGTGATGGTACGGCTGAACTATAAGGATATTCGTAATCGCATATAAGGAAAGTTAATTGGGTGGCGGAAGTAATCACAGGTAGCCACTTGAGTAGGCCCCCCCTAGACATGGCATGAAGCTGAATTGCTTTTTACCGAGAGATCGCCCAAGGAGGTAAACCCAAACAAGAACACCAAGAAAAAAACTATATATCGGTTTTCTTCATTAAATAAAATGTGCTCACTATATATTCGTCACGTCTATGGCACTGAGGTACATGGTTTGTAATTTTACTTAGTTCTCCAGAGCACATGGTAAGCAGCCAGCACACCTGATGGGGCAGTGATGCCGATCAGAATGTGGTATCCACGAGGTGTCTTAGTATTTTATTTTATTTTATTTTATTTACAAGTACCTGACAGGCTCTTCGGGGAGCATTGAGTAAAAGGAACATCACAAAAAGAAATGAAAAAGAATGCGATACGTGAGTCTGAAAAGTGCAACAGTAACGTACTTGCGATATGGTGAAACAAATTTAATTACATGGCAAAATAATACTAAGAATAACATCAACTATACTAACTAATGGCAGAATAATATAAAAACAATAATCAGGAAAAGTAAAAATAGGCCACGAACTATCAACTAACAGAGTAAGTAATACTAAGAAAACAATACTCAGAAAGTAATGAAAAAATAACACTTATTTTTTGCAAAAAGAGCGGCACGCAAGTCGTGTAAAAAATCTACATCACTTGTGCGCTCATAGAAAAAAGTGAACAAAGTAGATAGGAACTCGTAGCACGGAGCTTCGCACATACTTCGCTCAACGAAAGGAAAGAGTTTCCGTGACGCGATACGGCTTGATGTGTAATATGATGATTGTGAATATTTGTTACGATGAATACTGCAGGGTCGTGAGTTGTCTAGATTCATCCTTATCTGGTTGCACAACAGTGTCATTTGAAAGCAAATTCCATAGGCGAATTTCTCGTGGCAAAGCCGAGAAATTAAATGCGTGAGTGGTTCCATACTATAGGTGCGATTGTAGCTTAAGTTGTGAAGACGTCGTGATGTGCAGGATGCGCGTACCAATAGCGGGTCTGATGCCTTTTTTTGGTTAATATAACGACAAAAGTGCCATGTCATGACGATTACTTGAAGGGAAAGGTTGAGTTTTATTTGCGGTACACTTGACTGTTAGTTGTAATTGCAGGAAATGAATCGACTTGCTCAATTTCGGACAGCTTCTAACAAGCGGATTAGGTATTCTTGATAAGGAGACCATATGGGAGACGCGAGTTCAAGCGGCGGACGCACAAATGTTAGAAACACGAGTTTGCGAACGTTAAGTGGGCAGTTACGCGAGTTGCGGCGAATACAGCCGATGTATTTGGAAACGTGTGCGCATATGGTTGTATATGAAAGGTCCAGGAAAGGCTTGGAGTAAGATCAACGCCTGGGTAATTGTACACTGATGCTTCATGCACTAAGTTTGTATTTATATAATACGAAAAGCTATGAGCTGAATTTTTACGCGAGATTGTCATTATTTTACATTGATAAGAGTTGAGTCTCAATTGCCAGACCTTTCGGTAACGAGCTGAAGGTCATGCTGTACAATGAGGTGATCATCAAGGTTTTCCATGGGTCGATATATTATACAATCATCGGCAAATACACTCCAGCAGGATGATATTTTACCAGGTAGATCATTAATGTAAATAAGAAAAAACAAGGGTCTAACCATACTACCCAGTGGTACACCGAAGGTCACATATGTAACGGATGACGTACGATCATTTAAGATTGTGAATTGCTGACGGTTTGTTAGAAAGTTTTGAATTCAAGAGAGTGTGAAGCTGTGTATTTTAAGAACTTATAATTTCGATATTAATTGACAATGATCTACGCGTTCGAAGGCTTTGGAGAAATCAAGAAATAGGCATTCTGTCTGAAGGTCATGATCCATGTCTAAATGTGTGTCTGAGTTCGAGCGACTGAGTTTCACATGAATAGCCCTTCTAAAACCATGCCGATTAGCAAAGAAAAAATTATTGCACTCCATATGGGTATATACATGCCAAGCAATGACATGTTCAAGCATTTTGCAACAAATGCTTGTCAAAGAAATCGGACGGTAGTTTTCTGGGAAAGTTTTACTACCACTTTGTGTACTGGTACGACTTTTGGTATTTTCCAGTCTGATGGAAGCTGGCCTGATGATAAAGACTGGCGAAAAATATGACACAAGATTTTACTAGATATTGTGACTGTATTATTTAAAATTTTGGAGATGATATTGTAATGACCCAATGATCTCGACAGCTTAAGTTCGGTAATGAGACTTGCAATACCTTCTTCTGTTACGCTGGAGGGTTCCATGTACTGCTAATCTAGATCTGCGATTTGCAGAATGTTTGAATGGTTTTCTCATTCAGAAGTATCATTCAGTTTATTACAGCGGCACAAGTAGGCACTTTTTGAGACCGGGCATAACACCAAGATATTTTTAGTAGTAGTTTTGAAATAATTCGCAAAAAAATTTTTTAGTTGAAACCGCTGGGCTGGTGTTGAAGGTATTAGCGACACGAAAAGTTATGTCGGTGTTCTAATAGAAGCGTGGAAGAAGTGCAGTCTGGAGGAGCGGTGTCGAGCATCACGTGGTCCTATAAAATATAATTTGTTGCCTAGGCCCTTATCTTGTAGCGCATGAAAGTTCACTCTTGGTATCCGCGTAGTAAGGCTACGTGCGTTTGCGGCTAATGATTTTATGGCAATGTATGTATTTATTGATTAGAATAAAAATTGGAACGTTTATTGGGCAACATGCCGTATCTCTGCAGGGTGATAAAGGTGACATTGGCCTACCTGGTGACCCCGGGCCTGTGGGTGAGAAGGTAGGTATCTTGCTTCATGCATGTAAGTGGTAAAAGAAACAAATAAAAAGAAAAAAAAATTCAAACTGAAAAAATCTGTCGTGCTTAGCAGCGCGTTGAAATTATTCAAACGAAGATGGTCGTAAGTTTTCATTTGCAAGGGAATGAAATTATTCATGAAATAAAACTTCATCTGACACACGAGCTACCAGATTCCTCATACAAATTAGCCCTTTCAGAATGATAGGTTATGCTTAAACTGTAATGTATTCTATAGCCATGTTTTAAGTGGAGACAAGCCTTTAAATAGACCTGCATGATTTTCTACGCTGTCATTAGCAATTGCAAAACACTGAGACAAATAATAACTGAACGGATGTTGCAGTATAGTTGGTTATGCTGCGTCACTCTTCAGAAAATGAAGTGACAGCACATAATTTCCGATAGGTGCTTCAAAATAAAAAAAATATAAATTTTGTACATTTTCAGATCTTCTTAACATCCATCGCTGCGCATGTAAACGTTCACAAGGCCTAAAGCTATATTTAGGCAAACGTAAAAGCCCGTGTGAAGAACTGTTCACGTTTCAGATGCATTGCCTTGCTGATAATAATCTTAAACGGCGAGAACAGAACGCCGGAACGACTTATGAATATGCTTATGTAAACAGTTTTCCAACTCTCGTTTTGTACTAGCTGCAAAGAAGTGTACCAAAGTGTACCATGGATGTTCTAGGCAGTCCCCGCTATTGGCAATAGGAACTTGTCATGCTCATGTTCCGGTCTGACCAGCGTATTAGCTGGCCACAAGTGTACGTAGAATGAAGGTGTAAAGCAGCATCGCTTCATATATACAGTAATCGTAAAGATATTCCCGCCTAATTTATTTCATTTATAGCAAGCTTCCTTAATAAGAAGAGTATTACTCGTTTCTTACCAAGCTCCACATGTTCAAGGTGAAACCTTATGCTTGCTATAAGTTTGCCTTCCCTATACGTCTACACGGTCGCTTATTTGCTACTTACCATATACATTGCGAGGCGCAATCATCAACTTTTAGCTATCTCCCTAAGAGATAGGAAGGTGAGCTTGATAATCAATTATAGATACTTTTGACAACAATTCAACTCAGAGCGCTGCTCAAAGAGCGTTGGCAGAATAATGCTAGTGTATCTCCAAGAGACAGAAAAAGTTGGTATGAGTATTAGTATCGGCAAGTGTATACAATATATTCTGTCAGGACTTAGAGAAAAAAGTCTTACTGCGCTAGCTTTGTAATCAACAGAGGAAATAGCTAAATGTTTACCATAATGCCGGGATATGAGGGCTGAGCGCATAAAGGCAAAGTCGAAGGCAACAACGACTAAGAGAATGAGACGGGATCAGAGAATTCGGAGAAGCATGATGTATACGTTGAAGTGTGTAGATAGGTCAATCTCAAAGTGACCATGGTCTCTACGAGAGTATGATAACTCCGACGCTGATTATGGATAATGACGTACTGCTTGGGAGTCTCAGGATGATTGTAAAAAGCAGCCATGCTTCGCGTGCCCATTGTCTACCAGTGATCTGAGTGTACAAATGCAGTTTGCTCAAGGCTTTCATAGCGGAACATAACTTTCAATTCGCTATTAGGTGTTCGATTATGATTGTTGCTATTTGTAACATTTGGTACGCAACTACAGTGCAGCTAATGTAATGAACTCATCTCATGTTTCTGGACGTCATGGCTGTGATTTGTTGACACAAAATGGACGGCGTCATTTTCGTAAGAGTGCGAAGTTGGGCTTGTTGGTGATGCATAAATGTTGACATCGCGCAAATATTTAACGCAGGGCAAGAAAAAGAATGAACGCGTGCTCTTGGTGCCCGCGTGACTTCGTGCACACAATAATTCTGGTTTTAATCACGCATTGCATTCTCTTTTATTGCAGGGACGGAATGGTGCCATCGGTCCACCGGGGCCATTGGGTCCAAAGGGAGACAAGGTGAGGAAACGCATCATGATTTTCCTTTATGATATCGTGGTGCACTTTATTTTTGATGCTATTCTAGCGGTGGCAGTGGTGATGGGCGTTGTGGTTGTGATTTTGCAGAGGCAGGGTTAGCCTGGCCTAAAAAGCTGGCAATTGTTCCACCAGGGAATCTCTTATAGTATAGGCGTCAGTCACCAATATCACTCAGCCCAGTGTGTCACAAGAAAGCCATTAGGGTCTGTTGCACGCACCTCCGTGTCGCTGTGGGTGCTTCAGAAAAAAATGACATCTTCCGATGTCCTGTGCTTGTGACAACCTTTCTGCAAGCTGCGTACCACCTCTGTTCCTTCTCTGACAAACTGCGGGCATAGCTAAATGAAATGTTCGATGTCACCGATGTCACCACAAACGGCACAAAACGGGGAAGCGCCTCGCCCTGTCTTGAATGACCAAGCCTGCGTGTATGCGGAGTCAGGTCTTATCCGGCAAAAAGCGTCGCTTGTTCTCTAGAAAGTCCGTGTATTACGCATGACTGATGCGGAAACTTGTGATTCGCGCTGAAGTGATTGCATATTACATCCTTGTTGTTCTGGGAAGTTTTAGGAAATCTTATTTTTGGAACGCAAGTTGGCGCTTTGCCTGAAAGGGTACCAGCTTTTTTATTGCTTTCAATTCCATCGTGGGATGGGATCCATTAAAATTTTACAATAAAGCTTTTCCCGATCAGGTGTTTAATGAGCGCCTGAGTTTGTCTACTGAATATTTTATGTGAGAACCCTCGACGCAGTCGCTGTAACGCAGCCTGTGAGTTCGCACTACCACATCTCGTGTAGAAAGCGTTTGCTATTTTCGCCAAGCCGGGACGATTGCTGCGCTTTCTACTGTTGTGGACGCCACAACATGATCTAGGCGGGCAGACTATGACACGCCTAGGGAGGGTATGCAGAAAGCCGCGTCGCAGCTATCTGTCCGTGTGCGCACTGATCCCTCAGTGTAAACTTGTAGGTGACCATGGTACGTGGTGCTCAAACAGTCCAACACCAGAAACTTTGCTTCCTCAGCTGGAACAGTGCGTTTCGTCGGCAGTTTAGAAACCCTGAAGTTACAGGTAACGTCTACAAAGGACTATAGCGGGTCGATAGAGCTCCGTTGAGGCGATTTAAAGCCTAAATGTCGAAATGTGTTCAATGCCGTGTAAAAATGTGAGTCAGTTCTTGCTCTCAGCCACTGGAGAAAGGCCGTTCCTGTGGAGGACTCGCCCAGTCTTGTTAGCTGCGTCAACAAAGCCTGAGACGCCAGGAGACGAAATGGTAGAGACTCGGCTTCATCGCTGACCGTCTTGTTTGACGCCGCCTGAGGGACTCCCATCGCCAATCGAAGACAATTTCTGTGCACTGCCTCTACGCGTTCAAACTCGCGTGGTGTTGGCGATATCAGTGGCAGCTGGTAAAGAATGTGGCTTGTTATGAGCGCAGCGTTCAGCTTAAACATTGACATAGAATTGTTGCCCCAGCGTACACATGCCATTGGCGAAGAGTGTTGAGTCTCTGCACAGATGTGGCCACAATGTCATCAACCAGTCATCGCCCTAGTAACGTATCATCGAAGGTAACACCTAGGAAATTAACACTCGTCAAACAACGGATGTCACCTACTGCTTGCGTTGAAAGTACTATACCATACCCCACACTCTCTTTTTTCTAAATATGTCTTTTCGTGGGACAAAGCGAGTGAGCACTTGATTAAAGAGAGAAAACTTACACAAAGTTCTGACTGAAAATTCGAAGAAGCTAAGGTACCCAGGTCACACTAAGTCACAAGACAGGGTCTGTGGTGAAACACTTACTGGGACGTGTGCGGCGGCTTCATGTGGTTTTCGGCGCGCAGGGTGAAATTTCGAAGTTCATGGGCTTCTCGTGATCATGATAGCATGCGGGGTTGAAAGTGAAGCTCTGTGCAATGATGATCAGTGTGAGAGTTGACGAAAAACGCATACAGTGCAAGTGGTACTACTTTATAAAACCACCACAATAGAATTTCAGCGCTTCAGACACTGCTGGAACAGCGAATTTTGTCAAACAAGAGAACATGAAGTTCCAATCACTAGACTACGCTGTCAAACTCTATATCTTAATTTTTATTTACACAGAGCTGGTCTGGCGGCTTCTCCTAACTGTTCTTTTTGTGGAGCACGTGATACAACTCAACATTATCTCAATTCCTGTACCGGATATTCCACGTTATGACATAATACTTTAGATACCGTTTACAACTCCTTAGGCTAGATCTAAATTTACCAAATGTGCTTTTGTTTGGGGCTTTGTCTCCGGGCCACAAAGGCGGGAAGGTTGACGATGCCTCGGCGGAGTTTATTAAATGTTCAAAGAGATTTCTATCATAGAGCCAACTCACTCTCCTATTTTCTGACTGGCGTGTAAATTCCTGTATATTATTTTCTAAATTATGTATCTCTGAGTTACTACCTATGTTTTTACTTATTTATTGGTAGTATTTGCAATTTTGTTATAATAGTGCAGCTTTCACCTTTACCTGGACGACATTTAATCAAATTATTAAGAATTTCTTTCGAAAACGACTCAGTTCTTGGCCAATCGCCTAGCGTGGGTGTGTGCGACTGTCTAAGGTTCTAACCTACACTAAATTTTTGGCCAATCCCCCACAGTGGGTATGAACCACAGTTCATGGGTGAACAAAAACAAGAACGAGCTTGAGCGACGGGGACCACTCGGCGAGTGGCATAGAGACATCGGTGACCGACCATAAGGCCAAGCCCCGACGTCACGATCTTGCCTGCTGGTACAGGCCTCGCATGGCTTTCCACGATCACGGGGTCTTCCTGGGTTGGTCTCCACCCACCTGTACCCCGCGGCCATCTCTGGTGACGTTTCTGGTGGCTGGCGAACAGTTATTCCTGTCACTGGCTTGTCATGGTACCTGGCGTTGCTCGAGGCTGCTCTTAACGTAGTCCTCGGGGTGCTGTTTCAGAAGCGGATGCTGCCACGTGTCAGGATGTTCCATGGCACATTTTCGCTGGGCCTGGCTGTGCCCCGGCACTTACCCGTGGTTCAACGCTCCAGGCCATCCTGGCACTGAGTGACCTTGCCCCGGTCCTTGGCGTGACGGCCTCATTGTGCACCGCCACCTAGGCCTGAGCTCAAGTGCTACCCACCGCCAGTTCGGGATACACTGACGAGTGGTGGGAGCCTCGAACTCCGACCGCGCCACGACTGACACACCAAAATCTACCCAGCGTGACGTGAGTGCAAAGACTTCAGTGTTGGTCGCTGAAAAAAAATACACAATAGCAACTGTGTAGCTGTTCTGTCGTCTGGTCCTACGTGAGTCAACGTGTACACAAAGCGATCTCACTTTATCCTCGACCGTTCTCTGTGCACGTCTGGCTAGCCTGAACCCACATTCACCCACAATTTCGGCGAGCCTGCCAGGATTGTGCCAAAATTGTTAGCAAATGTGGCCGCAAGCTAGCCAGCCGTGCACAGAGAACGTTGGAGGACAAAGAGAGATGGCCTTCTGAACATACCGACGAGCGTAGTACTATCGGTTTCCCCCTTCAAATTAAATCGATCACCAGGTTTTTTAATCGCGTCGCTAGTGAATTTAATCCAGGTGCCAGATAGTTATACGACGTGGTAATGAAATTAGTTTAAGTGCCACGTTATTCAATTCTGATGTTATTTTAATTAAAGGTGAAGCCTCACTTGACAAGGGGTTCAAGGATGTTCAAATTGCTATAATTTCACGTCAGAGAGGTGTAACTAAGAAACTTTATTATTTAGGAACTTTTTTCATGTGAAACCAAAAATCGCCTTAACTGTGAAGTGAACCACAAAGAAAACAGTCTCTGCTGACTTTGCGCAACTACGTACACTTCCATTAGTAATTCTCAACTATATCGTGCCGACATGGGAATCAAAGGGAAAGAAATAGCGATTGCTTTGTGATGGCTTAATTTTCGCCAACAATGGGTGGCACAAGTCTCGTGACTTCGTGCATCTTGCACCAGTTCATGGGTGATCCCCACTGTCTGTCTGTCTGTCTGTCTGTCTGTCTGTCTGTCTGTCTGTCTGTCTGTCTGTCTGTCTGTCTGTCTGTCTGTCTGTCTGTCTGTCTGTCTGTCTGTCTGAATGTCTATGTGTGGTCCTCAACTCTGTCGACACGAATATCAAACAAATAGACATCGAAGCAGCTCTCTGGTTGAATGAGTCGCACAAGTAACGCCTTCAAAAGCTCGTTATTTGAAACAGTAAGTGCGCAGCTCATTATTTAGCAGAACTGGTTGGTGATAGCAAAAGTTTTTTAAAGAAGGAATAGGATACATTGTTTTTTTATTTGAACTGTATTGATGTTGTGCGAAATAAAAATTAGAAGTCAAGGTGAGCGTGAATTCCTCGTTCGGTTGACTGGATCGATACCCGCAAACATAGATGTGTTAGCAATTTAACTACAATGGAAGGCGTTCGATCTTCTACGTTGCGTGGTATATATGTGCGCTTAATCCACAGGAGTGTTAGCCAGCGCCCTGTAATACCCTGCAAGCACTTGACACTTGCTTTGATGCACCCGGTTACCGTTCAGGCAGTCGGCCCATTGGGAAATTGCTCATTATGGCGATTGTCAATTCCACATTTTGTTTCAGATGGCCATCCGTGTACTTAATTGACTAATTTGCTATCGTTATGTCCATCTGGATGGAATGAGTCCTTTAAGAATACGCTCACTAGAACTTCAAATGATCGTACAATAGGATGGCTTTAATAGAAGTGAAATTCCGAGGTATACTTATCTGTTTGTATAAAAGGGCTCAAATTAGTACACTCGTTGATCTATCAATACTTGTTCCTAGTTTGGCAGCACTGAAACTGAATGAGAGAAGCTGTTTGATCGAGCTGGCCTGCCCTTCACTTGACCCGGCAGTTAAGCGCAGTCTGTCTGAAAAAAGAAAGATGTGCTCCTCAAGTGACTCGCTCTCC